GCATGTGGAGGAGTGGAGACGCGAACCCAGTTCCCCAGATTACAAATCTACTGCTCTTGACCACTACACCACACTGGAATGCAGGGTTGAATCCAAAGCAGTGCTAACCATGCATTTAAAGCAAAACACTCCACCCTTCCAAAAAAAACAACAACCCACAACCTAACAATGCAAGGATTTCTGTTTGTGCAACAGGACTCTCCTCCCATCCCCCAAATCTATTCTAGGGGCTCACCAAACCCACTGGAGCACATCTGGGGAGAGACTGGCTGGAAGAATGCTTCCTACTTGCCTGGGAGAGCGAGAGGTATAGAAACATTTAGTGAAATGCTAAAATTTACATTTTCGTCCCTGGCCCTACCCATTCTTGGCATGTGGCCCTTGGAAGGTTGCCCAGATGGCAGAGTGGCCTTCAGCCTGAAAAATATTTCCCAACCCTGGCCTAGGTCTGGTTCATGTAATGGAACGACCTTGCTGCAACACATTCAGGAAGGATAAGGGCTGTCCACTGGCTACAAGTCCTGATTTCACAGAAATTGTAGAGTTAGAAGGGACCTCGAGGGTCCTCTATTCCAATCCCTTGCAATGCAGGAATCTCAGCTAAAGCATCCATGACAGATGGCCATCCAACCTCTCTAAGGAAGGAGAGTCCACAACTTCCCGACAATGTTCATTCCACTGTCAAACAGCTCTTACCGTCAGAAAGTTCTTCCTGGCATTTAATCGGAATCGCCATTCTTGGAACTTGAATCCATTGTTTTCAGTCCAGAGCAGGAGAAAACAAGCTTGTTCCCTCTTCCATGCGACAGCCCTTGAGATGTTTGAAAATGGCTATCACATATCTCTTCTCAGCTTCCTCTTTTCCAGGCTAAACATACCCAGCTCCTTCAACTATTCCTCATAAGGCTTGGTTTCCAGACCTTTGATCATCTTGGTTGCCCTCCTCTGCAAACGTGTGAGATTTCCACATGCTGTAGCTCTGGGATCAGAGGAACCAGGCTTCTGAAGACCAGCTGATGGGGAACGACAACAGAAGGCCCTTTCCCTCATGCCCTGCTTGTGGACTTTCTGTGGGCAACTGGTTGTTCACTGCAGGAAGCAGGGTGCTGAACTAGATGGGCACCTATGGGTCGGACCCAGCACAACCTACATTTTCTGTTTGGTGCCTCCATAGGAAACTCCTTGCAAACCTGTGCACTCTACCTTGGGTCTCCAGATGGAAGAACGACAAGTCCTTTAAAGCACATGGCTCCCCCGTACAGGGGCGTATTACACATAGATGCTAGTGGCACAGGGCGCCAAGTTCTGGAGGGTGCCAGGGAAGAGTCGGAGGCTGGACGCGGCACCTCCCAGCTTCATCTCACTGTCCTCGCCAAAACAGCGCCGCACTTGGAGCCTCCGTCTGCCATGGCCACTGCGGCACGAAGCGTCCAGCTGAGCCGGGAGGCGCTGCGTCCAGCCTCCGCCTCTTCACCGCCAGAGGAGTCGCCCTCCAGCTTCTGCCCGCCTCCTCCAGCCCCACCTCCCTAAAAAACTCTGGGAAATGGGGGGCGGCGGAGGGAGCTTTGCACCACAGTGCCGGAAAAGCTTAAGATGGCCCTGCCCCCATAAATGAATCCTGGGGACTGTGGTTTAGAATTCCCATTGCCTGTAATGAAGTACAGTTCCCAGGATTCTTGGGGGGGGGGGAGGAGTTGTGTGCTTAAAATATATGGTGTGGCTTTGACCATAGCCTATACGGTGGTACCTCGGGTTACAGACATTCAGGTTACAGACGCTTCAGGTTACAGACTCCGCTAACCCAGAAATAGTACCTCGGGTTAAGAACTTTGCTTCAGGATGAGAACAGAAATCATGCGGCGGCGCCGCAGCAGCAGCAGCAGCAGCAGCAGCAGGAGGCCCCATTAGCTAAAGTGGTACTTCAGGTTAAGAACAGTTTCAGGTTAAGAATGGACCTCCAGAACGAATTAAGTTCTTAACCCGAGGTAGCACTGTAATCTGCTTTGCACAGGCAAATCTGGATGAATGGTCAGTAAATAGGTTGCCTAGAGGAGCCCTCGGTTTTCCAGGGACTTTGCAGCCGCTAGCACCACACCCGTTCTGAGCTGGTCCTGCCTTGACCTTGGGACACATCAGGTCAAACCCACAGCAGAGACCTGTCTGATGAGACACGCCAGCCAGGGGAGCAGCAGCTGGTGAGCTGGCAAGGGGAATGGGGACAGGGAAATTGTTGCATCTCCTGAAGGTCACCCATGCTAACACCCTCACCTCCTTACTTGTCAACATCCTCTCCCCTTGCCGGGCATATCTGTGGTGACTGTTCTGTTTAGCTGGCTAGAACAACCTGTCAAAGCTGATGAGGTTATTCTCCTTCTGTGGCCTGTAGTGTACATTGCATGCTGATAAGATCATTAGCCACGGCCGGGATTCATTATATTGGATTTCTTATTATGCTGAATTGGAGTCATCTTTTTATTTATTTTTATCCCGCTCCCCTGGAATAAGCCTGATTAATTTTTCATGGGCCTTTACACTACTGTCTCTCCAGTTATACGGTCAAATTAAAGGGGAGCGGGTTGTGAAACCTGATGAATTTAAATGGAGTAACGGGAGCTCTTAACACTTTTGTCCCAAACAATAAATTAAAAAGACAAAGCTGACTCCATCTGCTCCAAAACAGGGGAAAAACTATGTAAGAGTCAATGGCTAGCACTATGTCAGCAAAGAGGGTGGCAGCCATACAGAAGGTTGGGACGCATTTCGGAACACTTTAGAGCTGTCTAACTAACTCCAGCACCTCCTGGCAAATAGAAGGGGAAGAAATGGAGGCAGTGAGACATTTTACTTTATTGGGTTCCATGATCACTGCAGATGGTGACAGCAGCCACGAAATTAAAAGACGCCTGCTTCTTGGGAGAAAAGCAATGACAAATCTAGACAGCATCTTAAAAAGCAGAGACGTCACCTTGCCGACAAAGGTCCATATAGTTAAAGCCATGGTTTTCCCAGTAGTGATGTATGGAAGTGAGAGCTGGACCATAAAGAAGGCTGATCACTGAAGAATGGATGCTTTTGAATTCTGGTGCTGGAGGAGACTCTTGAGAGTCCCATGGACTGCAAGAAGATCAAACCTATCCATTCTGAAGGAAATCAGCCCTGAGTGCTCACTGGAAGGACAGATCCTGAAGCTGAGGCTCCACTACTTTGGCCACCTCATGAGAAGAGAAGACTCCCTGGAAAAGACCCTGATGTTGGGAAAGATGGAGGGCACAAGGAGAAGGGGACGACGGAGGACGAGATGTTTGGACAGTGTTCTCGAAGCTACCAGCATGAGTTTGACCAAACTGCGGGAGGCAGTGGAAGACAGGAGTGCCTGGTGTGCTCTGGTCCATGGGGTCACGGAGAGTCGGACACAACTAAGCGACTAAACAACAAACAACAACTAACTCTAGTGCTGCTGAGCTCAGCTTGAGGGCTTCTCACAGTCTTCTGGTTGGCCACTGTGAAAACGGGATGCTAGATTAGATGGGCTTTCTGGGGAGAACACCTATGCTGATATTGCTAAACAAGTGCACGTCAGAAATCCTTGCCTATCTCCCAGTAGACCCCATCTGCCTTCTCCCCATCCCTAACAGAGGACTAGATCTGCTGTGTAGCGTTCAAAATTCGTTAGGTGCCAGGAGGAGCATTTTGCCCCTGAAGTCTCCACCGCCTGGAGGTGCATGCCTGGGGACCATTGGATCCTGACCGTTTTCACACGCTAACGGCGCATCCTGTAGAATTCTATCTGCGATACTTTATCTGCACAGTCAGAACAAATTTCAGGAACCCAAAAGTGGTATTGAAAAATACAGCTTTGGAGCCATCTGGCTCCCAAATGGCAAGTAGACATTCCATTTTGGCGACTGTGACCCTGGTTTCAGGAGCCACTTGGCACCTAGATAATATATATCTGAGTTTCTAGCATGCTGCTGTGTGTCCACCCTGCAGCTTATCCACCCCTCTACCAGCAGTCTTATCCACAGCCAGCAGTGACCTCATGTGACGTGGGTAAAATATCTGAGGGGACATAAGCTGGCAGTGGGGGAGGATGTTTGGCACCCTTGAGCACACGCTCCTTTTGCTGTAAAAATGGGACTCCCTTCCTTCTATGTGCGTGGGGTTCGAAGATATGAAACAGCCACCCTCTGACCATTTTTATGGGTTGAAAAAGCCATAACACGTAACACTGAAGTCTATTTCTGCTTTATGGCTTTTCATAGAGGCCTTCTGCAATATTCTTGCACGCTGGGAGTCATTGCATTGTATTTTCATCACACACGCTCCCGTCCATATGCTCGCTACAAATGGTGCGTTCAATAATCCACAAGTGGAGACATAATAGATCACTGGAACACTCGGCAGTGACTCTGTTGCCTTAGTAAGTACAGTGGTACCTCTGGTTGCGAATGGGATCCATTCCGGAGGCCCATTCGCAACCTGAAAAGAACGCAACCCACGTCTGCGCACGTGCAGATCGTGATTTGCCGCTTCTGCGCATAACATCATTTTGCGCGTCTGTGCATGCGCGAGCAGCGAAACCCGGAAGTAACCTGTTCCGGTACTTCCAGGTCGCCACGGGATGCAACCTGAAAACGCTCAACCTGAAGCAAACGTAACATGAGGTATGACTGTAATCCAGGGCCTTCTTTGGATAGCCCAATTTTTTGCTCTCAGGGTCACTTTAGAAAAGCAGTCCATTGTATGCCTTAAATCTTCAGGCGTACCAGGCCTGGCCAAACTTGACCCTCCAGCTGTTTTGGGACTACAACTCCCATCATCCCTAGCTAACAGGACCAGTGGTCAGGGATGATGGGAATTGTAGTCCCGAAACAGCTGTAGGGCCAAGTTTGGCCATGCCTCTGGGCCCAATATAACCAAACTTCCACAGCTCTAACTGCACTTGCGCAAGCCTGCATCCCTCACAGTGTCTCCTTTCTTCCTTCCTTTGTCAAGGAAGAGCTGTAGCTCAGGGTAGAGCGACGGCATTGCATGCAGAAGGCTAGAGCATGAGACTCTTAATCTTAGGGTCATGGGTTCGAGCCCCGCCGTGGGCAAAAGTTTCCTATTGCAGGGGGTTGGACTAGATGACCCATGTGGTCCCTTTCAACCCTACGAGAGCTACTGCTGGCCAGTGAAGACAGTATTGATTAAGATGGTCTGTCTCAGTGCAGTTTCTTGTGTTCTTCTATTTCCTATGTTCCTCTGTCTTCCCTGCTGTCAAGGCACAGTCTCTTAACTCCTCGGGAGGTGGCTAGTTCCCCGTCTCTCTGACTGCTGTTGTCAAGCGCTGTGTACATTGGATGGCACCCGCCTTATCCCTAACCGACTAGCTAATAGCAATCATTAATCAGGAGGCGGGGGGAACAAAGGACCGAGAGGGAGGAGTAAAACAGGCAACTCTAGAAAGACGTTGGCATATGGCTACAAATATATAATAGCTGATCCCTCCCCTATGGTGGCTTGAGGCTAAATGACAGATGAGTCTTCCGATCTCAGAGTATGTTTTATTTTATTTTAATTCTGAAAGTGGGTGAGAAGCAGCTTAAGAAAAGACAATCTGTAGTTTAAAACACCCCCAAATAGCAATAAAGCCAATGGCATTCATAATAATAATAATAATAATAATAATAATAATAAACTAAAAGATTAATCAATTCAACCCTTTGGATGCCTACACGAAGCTCCAATGAATTCGATTGGGTTGTTCTCCGAGGTAAGCGTGCATAGGATTACTTGGGAGTAAGCCATTGATCTGGGTAGATATGCATAGTATTGCACTGCAAAAGGCGTGGGGTAATAAATAAATAACACTAGGTACGGCTGGGAAAACCAGCCCAACCAGAGGCAGGGCAGGGCGAGGCGGATCGGGGCGTGTGCGCAGCAGGAGCACGTGCGCGCCCAAGCGCGGGGCGACGGCGGAGGCGGAGGCCTACCCGAGAGCGCCTTTGCGCGGCAGCCGGCCAAGCCGAGAGCCCTTCGGGGCGGTGGCCGCCGGTGAAAAGCCAGCGGTGGGATGGGCGGGATCGCGCAGGGAGAGCTGCTGCCCGCCGGAGCCAGCCAGCACCCGGCTGGATGGTGCCCACCCTGGCCTGGCGGCCGAGAGTTGGCTCGCGAGCCTTGACTTCGCCTCCATCCATCTCGATCCGCAAACGCGCTCTCGCCAGCCGCGCTACGAAGCACCTCCCGGTCGGGCACGCCATACGGCTCCCGGCTCCTTTCCCCGGCAGGTTGCAGGCCCGATCCCGACGGCTCCCGCCTCCCGCGGCTCCTCCTCCTTTCGCAACCTCGCGGAGAGCTGCTCCTCCTTGCCGGAGCCGGGGTCGTGCCTGCTGGGCCCAGCCCAGGCGCCGGCGAAGGGCTCTCGGCGCGCTGGAGACGCGCGCAGCGGCGCTCCAAGGCGCGCCGCCACCAGCAGCACCACGCCTCGCCTGCTTGCCGGGCTTTGTCCGGGACTTGCAGGCAGCCGCTGCGTCCGCGGCCCTTCCCCGCCCAGCTCGGGGTGGGAGGACCGGCGGCGGCGGCGGCGAACGCGAAATGATCGCCTTGTTGTTGGACTCTGCCGTGCGCCTCGCTGCGCAACGAGGCAGGGGCTGGCACGGGCGGCGGCGAGGATGACCTTGCAGGGATGTCGGCGAGGGGCGTGTTTGAGCATCGTCTCCCTCCGATCCGGCAGTAGCAGCAGCGTCGTCGGGTGACTTGAGAGTAGGAGAGAGAGAGACAGAAAGAGACAAAAGCGGGAAGGGAGGAGGGAAAGAGGAGGAGGCGGATTTGCAGTGATAGGCGGTGCGCAAGGCGAGCGCTGGCCACTTTGCCGAAGTGTCTTGAACGTGGAGAGGAGGAGAGCGCCGGGCTCCGTCCACACGAGCGGCAGCAACACGGGCTCCTGTCCTGCCCCGCACAGCCCGGACCTCTTTGCGCGAGACCGCCGATCGTCTGAATCCCGCCGCCCATCCCCGCGCCTCGGGCCGCATGCGCTTGATGTTCGCGGAATTCCGCTCCAAAGGCAACCCCTTGCCGGACACGGGAGGGGGCCATGAACGGGCTCTGGCGATGAACTGCGGCGAGACCAAGGAGATGGAAGGTAAGGAAGCGGCGGGGGTAGCCGTCACGGGGCGCGCGCCTGGGCAGCTTTGGGTACCTGGCGACCCTCGCCTGTGGCTCTCAGGTGAGCGGGGGAGCTCTTTGTTCCGAGTCCGGCTCGAGGGCTTGGCTGATGCCCTCCGGGGCTCTTCTAATCATCGCATGCAAGCTGGGACTCCGGAGGGCGTTTGTTCGACCTCCGTGTTAAGTTAGGCGCGCACGGTGTGTGGATGAGGAACAAGAGCTTCAGAGACTGAGAAAGGGAGGTGAAGGGCTGGGGGTCGCCAGCTATTCTTCCGTCTTGCGGGTGAGGATGAAGGATGAGCATGCCTGAGGCTCTGATGCGCGTAGGTGGCTGGGCAGAAAGAGGTGGTGTGGGGCTCGGAAGGTGCCCCGATGCTTGCGAGTAGCTTCATGTGCCAGTGTAGGGAGGGAATGGTTGCACGGACTCTCCCGAGCGCTGGGTTTCTGAAAAGATGTCAGACCTGGTAGCCGTCCCCTGCTGTCTAGGTAGGTTGCTGTGGCGTCCTCCCATGCGTGCACGGGGAGCACTCTGCACAGGCTCAGTGTCCCTCTTGACTTCTGATTCCAATGTCAGAGGTGAAAATGAGGCTCTGTGACTTGGCTGCTTTTGTGGTTGGGGGGGGGGGCTGTCCTGGGCATCTTTAAAGTGAACAAAATTAAAAACTGGCATCCCAGGGCACATTTGCATGGGAGTCAGCTTCCTTGAGCTGGGGGTGCCTCTGCTCCTGTATTGACCTGTATGGGATGGGAAGTGTCTGAGACTGCCAACTGACAGCAGATTTAAGGAGAGAGGTTGCCGCTGGGAATGCTTGTATCTCAGGCATAAGGAACACTGTGTTGTGGGGGCTGTTTTAATCTCTTTAAATAAAAAAAAAGATTGTGGGTGTTAAGCCTGCTAAGCCCCAGTCTCTGGCCTGGGTACCCTCAGATGTTGTGTAGAGGTTATTCAGTGTGGGAGTGACTGCCATTCTGCACATGGTCAGGGGCACTCTTTGCTCTGCAGGTGCTTTTTACATTCCTGAGTTTTGCCAAATTGCTGAAAACCATTCCCAGCCTTTAGAGAGGCTTCGCTTCTAATTAGACCTTCTGTGGAGTGCTGTGAGTTTTCCAAAGCAGAGTATATTCTACCTGTCCAATGTGAGAGCTGTAAAGTGCGATAAGAGAGAGAAAGAATAGCCTTGCATCCAGTTAGAACAGCTGTGCTGGATGAGACTGATAGGATTTGAAGTCCAAAATATCTGGAAGCCTCCTGGTTGTTGGAAGCACAGGGCAACTAAATACTGTAATGTTGCAGCTCGTATGCCAGCCATGTTTACGAGGGAGTAACTCCCACTGCTTGCAACAGTACTCATTCACAAGTACGTGCACTGAGCATTGACAGACATTTCCTAAACAAGGAGGCTCCCTTTATACGGAGCGTTGTTCCATCGGTTATTTGTCTTTGTTGATCAGAAGCTGCAGTCCAGGATTTCAGACAGGAGTTTCTCGCAGCCCTAACTGGAAATGTCATTGGGAACTGAACCTGGGACATTTGGGTGTGATTCTGCCACTGAGCTATGGTTCTTTCAATAAGCCCCACTGAATTCAGCAGGACTTAATTCTGAGCACACATACATATTTAGGGACAGATACCCTTCCTAAACAAAATTACCCTGGGAGCAAGCCTTGAGGACTCGCAGATGTGTGTAAACAGCATTTCCATGCAATCTTCCAGACTGAATAATTCAGAGTAAATGTGCACGCGCGGTTCGGAGACTCACAGGGGCAAGAAGGCAGTAGAGGAGCAATCTCAAGATCCCCGTATCCCTCGACATCCTTTGATGACCTTGTCAAGCTCTGAGTGGCGAAAGAGTGGTCTCCATCAAGGTTCTCCCCAACCTCTTTTAAAAGGAGCAAAATGGGTTTCTGGTCAGCATTTTGCAACTGTGAGGAAGGAGCCTGGGGTGGTAGTTATTCCGCAGCGATGCACGACAACGGCAGTAGTAACGCCATCACATTTATACGGTGCTTTAAAATGTACAAAGCAGTCCATGTTCGTTCTGGGCTAGCCCAGCACACTACGCAGAACAGGCAGCTGCTATATGTGGGGCAAGAGTTTCGGGCCCTCCAAACTAATTGGAGAAAGTCCTCTGGGGTGAGAGTGGGGGGGAACCTGTGGCCATCCAGATGTTGGGCAGAGGTCAGGGATGATGGGACTGTACCCCAATATTTTTGACACCTTGTGGGAAGGATCCAAAGACATACCAAAAATCTAGGTTTCCGCAGTTAAAGTGGATTTAAAGCGCTCTTGTTGCCCTAACAGAGCAAATTAACTTTAAAAAAGGACTTTTGGTGGATAGGAAGTTGGCAGGAAAACACACTGCAAAGTGTGTGGGGGGGGGGAATGAATGAACAATTAAGAGGAAGATGTAGATAGATAGATAGATAGATAGATAGATCAAGCAAGCAAGCAAGCAAGCCAGCCAGCCCCCTGCAAGCAAATGGGAATGAATGCTCACTATCGTATAAACACCCCATAGGCAGATATGAATGAATGAGTAAAGCCCACATAAGATTTGGGAAAGCAAGTAAATGGGTTTCCTGGAGGAGGCCAGACAAAATCTGAAAGACTGCATGGGCCCCATAATATCCTTCCTGGAGCCTGGACCCTTGCGATGTCATGTTGTGGGGTGGTACCAATGAGCCACCCTCATTTTCACTTTCTCTCCTTCTGCGCAAGCAAATGGAACAGAAGTTCCTCCTTTTTGCTCCATTCACTCCAATGGAACTGGAAAAAGAGGTCTCAGGAGAAGACATAATTGCTGCCCGCCACCACTTTTGCACTGGCAGACAGTGTATCATAGTGGTTAGAGCCAAGTTTCAGGCTAGGACCAGGGCAATCTGGGGTTGACCCCCTATATCTGAGACATGAAACTGAATGGAATGACTTGTCCTAGTCATCCATCAACCCCGCAGGGTTGTTGTGAGGCTGGATTGGTGGATGGGGAACATACATGCTGCTTCTATGTGGGGTTGGACTAGATGACCCTTGGGATCCCTTACAGTTCTATGATTCTTGGAGGAAGGACAGGATACCAATGTAGTGCTTGAGTAAGTTCCGTTGAGCAACTTCCTCGCGAATAGACAGACAGAGGCTGGTTGTTGTTCGTGAGTGCTTGGCTAGGTTGAGCTTTGAACCCGGGACTTCTTGGGCCCCTCCGGACTGATGTCTTTCTGTGGATGTATCCTCCCAACATATCATTGACACAATAATGGTGGATTAAAGGTAAAGGACCCCTGACAGTTAAGTCCAGTCACAGACGACCCTGGGGTTGCGGCGCTCATCTCGCTTTACTGGCCGAGGGAGCCGACGTTTGTCCACAGTTTTCCCGGGTCATGTGGCCAGCATGACTAAGCTGCTTCTGGCACAACGGAACACCGAAACCAGAGCAGTGCACAGAAACACCGTTTACCTTCCCGCCGGAGTGGTACCTATTTATCTACTTGCACTTTTGGGTGTGCTTTCGAACTGCTAGGTTGGCAGGAGCAGGGACCGAGCAATGGGAGCACGCCCCGTCGCGGGGATTCGAACCGCCGACCTTCTGATCGGCAAACCCAAGAGGCTCAGTGGTTTAGACCACATCGCCACCCACGTCCCTTCAATGGCTCATTAGCTGTGGATTTATACTTGACCACCCACATGCCCTTCTGCTTTATTAGTTCTGCAACACTTCTTACCGCATAATTGCTGGAAACAAAGCCGTATGTCTACCCTGGAACCATTGCAGGTGCAGAGGGCATTGAAAGCAGGTTTACTTATAACAGCCCAGATAGCATCACAAGTGGAAATCATCAGGAACGCAGAAGGAAAGGGATCTCTGCAGGGACCCTTTATTCCCTTACAGTTCAAGCCATGCAGCCATGATGTTTGAGGCTGCTCTCCTGTACAAAGCATGTAGCGCTAAGGTCGTTCGATCCCGGAGTGCTTCACGTACAATATCTCAACTGTCATAGAATTGTAGAGCTGGAAGGGACCCTGGGGATCATCTAGTCCAACCCTCTGCAGTGCAGGAATATGCAGCTGCCCCATACGGGGATCGAACCTGCAACCTTGGGGTTGTCAGCACCACGCTCTGACCAACTGTGTGTCAGCATCGCCCTTGAGCCAGTGCCACCAACTGGACTCATCCACTCAGCCCCGACTGGGCTAGGCGAGCTGGGTAGCACTTCCAGAGACCACCTTCTGCACAGGAACAGGTCAAAGTGCTGTGGACTCACAGCTTAGAGTTGTGAGCACCGGATTCACTCCCACAAGAAGACAGTCGTCGCACAGCAGAGTACAGCAGAGTCTAGCAGAGCATATAAACAACTCAGAGAGCAGCTCTGTAGAATATCTTCTTTATTCTATCTACAACTATACAAACTATATACAGAGCTTAATAGGTCTAAGCATAAATAAATGCTGCACTGCACTGAGTGTCTGCAGCTGCTCTTAGCAGCAACTACACACGATCTCTAACACTCAGTCTCTCTCTCTCTCCGACACTGACTGACTGACTGACTTGGTGCTGGAGCAGAATAAGTAGAGAGCAGAACACGCCTCCTCCTCTCTGGAGAATCAGCAGACTCCTCAGGAGATTCTTGGATATGGGAGGGGTGAAATCTCCTCATTGTGCTTTCCAGGCATCAGCCCTCACGACAGTCTTGCAAGGAAAGGATAGTTCCGTTAACAAAGCATGAGGCTCTTAATCTCAGGGTCGCGGGTTTGAGCCCTACATTGGGCAAAAGATTTCTGCATTGCAGGGGGTTGGACTAGATGACCCTGAGGGAACCCATTCCAACTCTACGATTCTAAAACATATTGCTGGTGGTTCATGTAAGGCAGAGGAATGGTGATGGCCCTAGGTACCCTGAGACAAGTGGGGCACCTGTGTGAAGGGATCCTGCTGTAACGAACGAAAGCAACACATCCGCACCAAACCAATATAAATTCCCCTTTCCCCAAATCAAGTCACTAGTCCATTTGATCTGTGAGCCACTTTGGTTTGCTTCTGGGCCGGATGTGTTGGCAGCCGCCCCAGTTGTTTAAACAGCGGTGTGCCCTACTCACAGCACTGAAGAGGGGGACGACGGCCCCAGTTTGTTACAGGTGCTGGGGATTGTAGCTCTCAAATTCTGGGAATTATAGTTCACCACACACAGAGCTCTAATTCCCAGCACCCTTAACAAACTAAAGCTCCCAGGATTATTTGGGGGAGCTTTATATGGACAGTTATGCATGCAGCCATAGTTTAGCGATCTAACCATTGTGACACGCTGTCTCTCTAACATGGAAGGGGGGGCTGGGGAAGCAGGTCGGGGAAGTAACAAGTTTGGCCAGCCCCTGCCATCAAACAATTGCAGCTGTTTTGCTGCAAGTGCTGAAAGCTCTGGCTATTTCCGATGTCCTTGCATCACATCCTTGCTGTGGTTTGTGCTTAGCAGCCCATCCTAGCCTTAAAGGCTGAGGCAGGACAGCCAGCCCCGTGACTCAACTCAGTATTATTCCCATTTTACAGATAAGGAACCGAGACTGTGAGAAAGTGACTCACCCATGCCTCCTAGTGAGATTGCATCTCGCCAGAGATATTGTGAACTCCAAGATGCTGCTGTAAGATTTGGACCTGGCTGCTAGCCCAGCTGGCTTTTAAAAAAGGCAAGGATTATGTCAAATTCATTGCAACTAAAAATATTATGAGCAAGTTCAGGCCTGATAGAAGCTGCATTATCTTTTCTGGCAGCTTCTACTCCCAGATATGTGGGAGCCGGTTCTGATTACTTGCTGAAACGCACTTTGCACATGCTCGTATTTTCTTTTTATTACTCGCATATTCCATAGCCAAACCCCAGAACAGTAAGTTCTTGGGCTTAGCATTGGCTCAAGTGCAGCCCCGGCAAAAAAAAAGCCCATTGATAAAACGCCCCCATCGTGTTTTACAATGTAACAGTAATTTGAGTGTCTTACCCCTCAAAAAAGGAAAGAAAGAAAGGTTGTCATAATAGTTACGCAGAGGAGACTGACGCCGGGAGCTGGCAAAGCAAGATGTCGCGGTTGCAAAGTTGTTTCTTTCAGACGGGAAGGTGAAGAAAGGGGTCAAGTTGTCCTTTCTGATCACACCTCTGGGCTCAGTAGGCAAACACAGCCCAATTGTTCTCTTTGCAAAAAATAAAATACAAAAAATAATAGAGACCTCAGCCGGGAACGAAGGAGATCTCCACAGGGCATGTAAGAATAGTCTGAGCACCTGCAGGCGTTAAGTGGTCTCTCTTAGATGCCGGGTTGGGGTGAAAATGAAAGGGTTTCTTCTCCTGCCTCGTTTCCAGTTGATCTGAATGGCCGCTGGAGAGCATTTATTCCTCTCCTCCCCCACCCAGATCCTCAACACATTAATATAAAGGACTTGTCACCTGCAAAAGAAGCCTAACAAATTCATCGTGTGGTTTCCCTCTCCTCCAAAACCTCCTCACTGGTCTTTCTCTGCTGTGTATGCAAATTCCTTGGGAGATATTCCAAACCACACAGATCAATCCAGTTCGTAGTGTTAGTTCATTGAATGTTTTAAAAATCAGGGGAGGGGCTTTGGATTGCGGGGTGCAAAAGCCTTCCTTATCGAGTGAACCCACGGAAGTAAGCTGCTTCTCTCTCATCCCTCTCTTGCTTGGTATTATTATTATTATTATTACTATTAATCTCCCTCCCAAACTCTGTCCTTCCACTTCCTTTGATTCTCTCTGGGTGATGTTATCAATCTGTTTTCTGTTCCTTCTAAGAACTTCTAAGAACACAAGAAGAACTCTACTGAATCAGCATCCTATTCTCACAGTGACCAAACACAGGCTCCAGCAAGCAGGATTCGAACACAGGAGCCGCATTCTCCCTTCCTGTGGTTTCCAGCCACTGGCATTCAGAAGCATTAGTGCCTCTGACCCAGTGGAGGAAGAGTATCATCCTCATCATCATTTTATTTGTATGCTGCCTTTCCATAGTTAAAACTGTGCTCAAGGCGGCTTGCAACATGGCAAGATTTACATAATTACCAACGTAACAAAAGTCATAAGCAATAAATAAAACACATCAAAAGGTACACAACCGGGATGTGGGTGGCGCTGTGGGTTAAACCACAGAGCTTAGGACTTGCCGATCAGAAGGTCGGCGGTTCGAATCCCCGCGGCGGGGTGAGCTCCCGTTGCTCGGTCCCAGCTCCTGCCAACCTAGCAGTTCGAAAGCACGTCAAAGTACAAGTAGATAAATAGGTACCCCTCGGTGGGAAGGTAAACAGTGTTTCCGTGTGCTGCTCTGGTTCGCCAGAAGCGGCTTAGTCATGCTGGCCACATGACCCGGAAGCTGTACGCCGGGGCTCCCTCGGCCAATAAAGCGAGATGAGTGCCACAACCCCAGAGTCGGTCACGACTGGACCTAATGGTCAGGGGTCCCTTTACATACATATATATATATATATATATATATATGTACACAACCAAATGGAAAACAATTTCCATATAAATCATAAAATCTAAAACTAAGAATACAACATGAATATCAATAACAATTTAAAATGACATAGATAAAGAAATTGATAAAAATAAAAGCAATATTTAAAAAAGGAGCCCTCTCTGTCGAGCAGCAGTAGTCCTTTATGGGGCCTGTTGGGCCCTGCTCCAAGCCAAGTGGAGAGAAGCAGGGCATGACCCTTCGGCTCCCAGCAGGTCAGTCCTGGGGCTGGTAGCAATTGATAGCCTTCTCCTCCATGAATTTGTCCAATCCTCTTTTAAAGCCATCCAAGTTAGTGGCCATCACTGCTTCCAGTGGAAGTGAGTTCCATAGTTAAACTCTGCACTGCATGAAAAAGTACTTTTATCTGGCCCTTCACATCTCTCTCTGTGGCCCTCCAGACTCTCCACAGGCCACGCCCCCATCCTCGAGCACTTCTGATTGGCTGGGATGCATCCTTGAACTGTGATAGTAATGCCTCTTGCTCACCTGGAAGGAGGGTGGAGAGATGTATCGGTTGTGGGGAGGGGGAGGCTTGTAAAATCATGTGAATTTTTGCATAGGTGTTGTACATAGGTAAAAAAAAAGGTATATCCCTTGCTCTGCCCCTTTTTTGCACCTTGCCCTGACCAACACTGTGTTGTGGCCCCCGGAAGGGAATATGGCCCAGAAAAGTTCCCCGTCCCTACTTCACAACTGGCCTGAGCTGCAGAAAGGAAAAGCTTTTATCGCTGCATCTGAAGCTGTCTTTCTGCAGGAGGAAAGAGACACTTGTTAAATTTGCCAATTAAGAATCCGCAGGATGCAGCAAGGTCAAAGGATCACAAGTTGTGTGAGTAAATGGATTTTCCGTAAAGGCACTCAAGGCTGAGTTTGTTTGCTCCTAAAATTTTGTGCCACCTTTGGGGGCACAGCCCACCTTAGGCGACTCGTGTTGCCGTGAAAACAAAAAACACAATGGTCTCAAATAAGCAAAGCTAACCAAGGCCTTAAGGTCCGTATAGTTCAAGCTATGGTTTTCCCAGTAGTGATGTATGGAAGTGAGAGCTGGACCATAAAGAAGGTTGATTGCCGAAGAATGGATGCTTTTGAATTATGGTGCTGGAGGAGACTCTTGAGAGTCCCATGGACTGCAAGAAGATCAAACCTATCCATTCTGAAGGAAATCAGCCCTGAGTGCTCACTGGAAGGACAGATCCTGAAGCTGAGGCTCCAAGACCTTGGCCACCTCATGAGAAGAGAAGACTCCCTGGAAAAGACCCTGATGTTGGGAAAGATGGAGGGCACAAGGAGAAGGGGACGGCAGAGGACGAGATGGTTGGACAGTGTTCTCGAAGCTACCAGCATGGGTTTGACCAAAGTGTGGGAGGCAGTGGAAGACAGGAGTGCCTGGCGTGCTCTGGTCCACGGGGTCACGAAGAGTCGGACACGACTAAACGACTAAACAACAACAACGACAACAATAAACCCAAGGCCTTAACAAGGATTAAGAAGCCCTGTTTTTTTCAGTCTGCATGTGGTGGTGACTTTCTCTGTGTGTGCTTGCAAGTACGGTGACTGCTCCATCGTTCTTCTTAGATCCTGGCATTCCACCTGGAAGGGGGAGCAGGAAAGATTGGCACCGACACAGGAAAAAGGCTCTGTCTTCCTTGGAGAAATAAACAACAGTGACTCAAAGTTAATTTTTAAAAAGGATCGTAGTCAGCATCTAAAACTAGAAATGGTTCCGTGGTCTGCTGCCGTCGCTTTCAGCAATATTCACGTGGTCCAGTGCAGAGTTGGGAGAGAATTTTGGAGGCACTGCCCTAGCTGGCTAGTTTTCTATGTATCGGGAATATTTATACATATATGTGTGTATTGCATCAAAGGAGCATTCATTCATTTGCCTGGACAGTCTGAAGTGCAGATCCGTCAGTGAGGACTAGCCCTAAGATCCAAGCTATATAATAATAATAGTAATAATAATAATATAAAAATAAAAATAAATTTATTTATACCTCACCTTCCGTGGCCAGAGCTGGGCTCAGGGCAGCTAACACCAATAAAATCACAGTAAAAACATAATAAGGGGGGGAAGAGGGGGAGGGAAAACCAATTTAAAATACAGGTTAAAATGCAATTTAAAATGCAGCCTCATTTTAAAATAGCCGATAAATCAAGACCATAAGGGGAGGGAAACATAAGGGTCAGACTAAGTCCAAACCAAAGGCCAGGTGGAACAGCTCTGTCTTGCAGGCCCTGCGGAAAGATGTCAAGTCCCGCAGGGCCCTAGTCTCTTGTGACAGAGCGTTCCACCAGATCGGGGCCAGTGCTGAAAAGGCCCTGGCCCTAGTTGAGACCAATCTAACCACTTTGTGACCTGGGACCTCCAAAATGTTGTCATTTGTGGACCTTAAGGTCCTCCGCGGGGCACACCAGGAGAGGCGGTCCTGTAGGTATGTGGGTCCTAGCCGCCTTAATTTGTTTACTTCAGTTCTGAATTATTTCCCATGAGGCATCCCGAAACGATTTACAATATAACAACACACACACACACACAAAGTTGCATATGTAAAAGCATCTTTTAATGGAATCCTAGAAGGGACCCCTTGGGTCATCTAGTCCAACCCCCTGCAATGCAGGAATCGTTTGCCCAATGTGGGGCTCAACCCTGCTCTATCATATGAATAAGAAAGAAAACATTTTGACAACAACAGCACATACATAAAATCACTTAAAATCCACGACAGATGCCAAGCTTGTTGTGCAAGAGGAGCATCTTCAGCAGGCGCACCGAACTGCCTTGCTCTCTTGCGCCCGCGCTGCGCTTGTGGGAGTCCCAGAGGCATCCGGCCATCATCCTCTGTGGGAGACAGATTGCTGGACCAGATGGGTCTTTGGTCTGATCCAGGAGAGCCCTTACGAATGCTGTAGCTCCCGTCTCCTTCCGCATCATGTGAGACTTAAGACAGGGATCTTCTCCTGTGCTCCTTGTATTTATCGTGTTTTTAATATTCTATTGTGAACAACCCAGACTGGATGGGGAAACCCAGCCAGATAGGTGGGATATAAATAATGTTTTTTAAAAAATTATTATTATTATTATTATTATTACAGTCATAGCTCATGTTACGTTTGCTTCATGTTACATTTCTTCAAGTTGCGTCCCACAGCGACCCGGAAGTACCGGAAAGGGTTACTTCCGGGTTTCACCACTCGCGCATGTGCAGACGCGCAAAATGATGTCACACGCGTGCGCAGAAGTGGCGAATCACAACCCGCGCATGCGCAGACGCGCCGCTGCGGCTTGCGTTCCTTTCATGTTGCGAACGGGCCTCCAGAATGGATCCCGTTCGCAACCAGAGGTACCACTGTATTATTACTACTACTCCTATGGCAAGATCAGCCTGAGAATTTTCTGGACCACATAGGATTACGAATATCCTGACGTTTCTATCCCGCTTTCCCCCCAAGGAACTCAATGTGGCATGCGTGGTTCTCCCTCTCTCCATTTCATCATCACAGAAACCCTGTGATATATTTGATGTGGAGACAGTGGCTGGCGAGGTCCTGTGAGGTTCATGGCCACGTGGGAATTTAAATCCTTGTCTCCTGGGTCTTAGTCCCACAGTCTAACCACAACGCCAGTGTCTCTGTAAAAACCTAGTCTCTGAAGCTGCTTCTTGCATCTCAAGCAAGACAATGAATTAAACTTCCGCTGTGGGTTAAACAACAGAGCCTAAGACTTGCCGATCAGAAGGTCGGCGGTTCGAATCCCCACAACGGGGTGAGCTCCTGTTGCTCGGTCCCTGTCCTGCCAACCTAGCAGTTTGAAAGCACGTCAAAGTGCAAGTAGACAAATAGGTACCACTCCAGCGGGAAGGTAAACGACGTTTCCGTGCGCTGCTCTGGTTCGCCAGAAGCGGCTTAGTCATGCTGGCCACATGACCCAGAAGCTGTATGCCGGCTCCCTTGGCCAATAAAGCGAGATGAGCGCCGCAACCCCAGAGTCGGCTATGACTGGACCTAATGGTCAGTGGTCCCTTTACCTTTACCTTTCCCCCCTACCTCCCAGACTCCTGAGGAAACTCGAGGGATGCTGTGCACTAAACCAAAAAGTATACACCGTAATTACACTTGCACAGTAAACATCACGTCCGGTTTGACTCTTAAGAACCCAACAGTCTCTCCTTTGGAAGGGAAGCTGCTCTGCTAATGATGCTCCGAGTTTGTTACCTCTCACGGAAGAGGGATTAAAACCAATATGTTCAGCCGAAGAAAAGAAGTCAGACCACAGCGAGCGTTCCTTCCCGCCTGGTTCTCTGATCAAGTACAGCTAGTACATAAAAAGCTGCGGTGGGAAGGCGCTGGATCCATGTGATTGATTCTCCTTTCCAAAGGAATCCCAGGGGACTCTTGATTTTCTTTGTTGCCTGTTACTGAAGTACATGCACCTAGCTTGTCGTTCCTGACCACAAATCCATTTCCCTGCCTGGAGATAAATAGCTCATAGGATCCGGAGGCTAACTGGCCTATTTCCGAAGCACTTTAATGTGATATGTTGTGTGGGTTGCACTCAGCAAGGAAGTATGTGTCTCAGCTTTGCGAGCTGACCCAATCCTATGTTTGTTTACTCAAGAACTGCTTCCCTCCAGATGAACTGACCTGAACTGATCATCACCTGAGGCCCTTCTTCACGTGCCTCCTCCATGAGCGTGTCGTAGGGCCTTTTCTGTGGTGGCTCCCCACTTGTGGGATGCCCTTCCCCAGGGAGGGAAGCCTGGCACCTTTCTTGCATATCTTTAGGTGCGAGATGAAAACATTTCTCTATAACCAGGACTATCCTACTTTTAGAAGACATCTGAAGGCAGCCCTATTTAGGGAAGTTTTTAATGTTTAATGCTATATTGTGTTTTTAATATTCGATTGGGAGCTGCCCAGAGTGGCTGGGGAAACCCAGCCAGATGGGTGGAGTATAAATAATAAATTATTATTATTATTATTATTATTATTTATATTTATATTTATATTTAACTAACATTTCATGGCCTTTTAAATGTGCTTGTGGGAGGGTTTTATTTATTTTTGTGTAATTGTGTACTTTGTGTTCTCATTTTATATTTTTATATTGTGAAGCACCCTCTGATCTTTGGATGAAGGGCGGTATATAATAATGATCTTTGGATGAAGGGCGGTAATAAATAATAATGTAATACTGAAAAGTAATTCTCTGTCTCTCTCACACCAATGCTGTGGACTTCGTTCCTCCCCAATCAGGTGCCTTCCAGATGTTTGGGGAAGCAACTGCCGTCAGCCCCAGCCATGAGACATCTGGATGGCACCAGGTTGCGGAAGACTGGTCCAATGGTTTGATTGCTGGACTAGAACCAGAGAGACCGGGGTTCGAATCCCCAGTCGAGAAGCCCACCTCTCAGCCGAACCTGCCTAACAGGGTGGTTGAGAGGAGGCAGGAGAGAAGAATAATGAAAGTCGCAACAGGGAACCAAGTGCTGCTCAGTGAGAAAGCAGGAAGTGCAGGGCTTTCAGCAGATGACTGTAGCAGCTGGCAGATCCTGGAGCTTCCACAGTCACTCAGAGGCTTCTCATTGCTCTCTGCTCCTGTGGTTTCCAGCAACAGGTATTTAGAAGAATTTTACGGCCACCAATTGTGGAGGCAGAGCAAGCACGTGTGCTGCTTGGATTTCTTCAGCAGCTGCATCGCAGCAAGATATTCAACAGGCGTAGCTTGCTCCTTCACTCCATGTTGCAAAAAGCTGCATCCATTGAGTGTATTATTCAGTGCTGTGCCTCTGTCGGGGCGGTACAGTCATGCCTCTTGTTACGTTATCTTCAGGTTACATACGTCTTTTCAGGTTGTGTCCTGCGGCAACCTGGAAGTACCGGAAAGGGTTACTTCTGGGTTTCACTGCTCGCACATGTGCAGACATGCAAAATGACGTCACACGCATGCACAGAAGTGGCGAATCGCGACCCACGCGTGCGCAGACGCGGGTTGTGTTCTCTTCAGGTTGCGAACGGGGCTCCGGAATGGATCCCGTTCGCAACCAGAGGTACCACTGTATACCTTTTAACGTGTCCTGGCCAAAAACCAGGACACGCATCTTCTGGGTTAGTGACCCGCATGAGATCACAGCCGCTAAAAAGGGGTGCTTTGGGGGGGGTGAGATCACTTGAGATCCTGGCGCCCAAATTAGCTGCCATTCTCTTGCATGAAAAATAGGGGATGTCCTGGTTTTCCCAGGGCATTTGTGGGGTATGGGGTGGTGTGGAGATGCAATCCTTGAGGGCAGGGGAAACTTTCCTTTTCAATATACCCTCATCTCTCCCCTCCTCCTCCTCCTCCGTGGGGCTTGGCAAATTAAATAACTTTCCTTCACAGGAGCAGTGAAATTGAGTGTTTATGAAGCCATCTTGGAAGCTTTGACCTGAACGCATTTGCAGAAGTGCTGAGTGGTGTTCTGGTAATAAAGGGGCTAATAAATCAAAGAGAGATGTTCAAAGGCATTGTTTTCGTTGTTTCCCACCAACACCTCTAGTTGCTTAATTTATTTTTTTTGTAGAAAACAACTGGAGAGCAGCAGCGATAGAGGCTGCGCTATTGTTTGCTGAAGGTGAGAGGGGGAGCGTTGTTGTTTTAATTTTATGGTTCGGAAGTGGTGTTGATTGTGTTGAAAATTAGGCGTGGTGGAAAATGCCAGCTGTGGCAAAAGTGACAGCTTGGCAAAGTGGGTGCCAAAATGTACATCAGGGCCAGGAAATCACAGAAAGGAAAGCAATGTGGGGGCTGGAGCTCTTTCATTTTGCAGTTGAGAAGAGACTGGCTCACCTCTTCCTGCCCTTTTCAGCTGTTCTAAGGGCCTAAGTCATGAGTAGGCAAGCTAAGGCCCTGGGGCCGGATCTGGCCCAATCGCCTTCTAAATCCGGCCCGCAGACGGTCTGGGAATCAGCGTGTTTTTACATGAGTAGAATGTGTCCTTTTATTTAAAATGCATCTCTGGGTTATGTGTGGGGCATAGGAATTCATCCCCCCCCCAAAAAAATATAGTCTGGCCCCCCACAAGGTCTGAGGGACAGTGGACCAGCCCCCTGCTGAAACAGTTTGCTGACCCCTGGCCTAAGCCAATAGGTAAATAAAGGTGGCTTCTGTATTTAGCATGCAGGGTAAGGTGGCTCTTTAACGACGTGCATAAGAACATAAGAAGAGCCCATCTAGTCCAGCATCTTGTTCTTACAGTGGCCGACCACATGCCCATGGAAAACCCATAAGTAGGATTGACGCACAAGAGCAACTCTCCCCTCCGGTGTTTTCCAGCAACTGATACTCAGAAACAGTGCGGCCTCCGACCGTGCAGGCACAAGTAAAGCCATTGTGGCTAGTAGCCCCTGAGAACCCTCTCCTGTAGGAATTTGCCTGATCCTCTTTTAAAATCTAGGTTGGTGGCCATTCACTGTCTCCAGTAGCAATGAGTTCCATAGTTTAATTACATGTGTGATGCAAGCAGCATAAACTGGAGTGGGAGTTATCAGCGTCAGAACAGGCATGCAGGATTAACCTTTTCCTGTGATGCTGTGGTCCTGAAGGAGCCAATCATAGAATTGTCGAGTTGGAAGGGACCCCGAGAGTCATCTAGTCCAACCCCTTGCAATGCAGGAATCTCAACTCAAGCATCCATGATAGATGGGCATCCAACCTCTGCTTAAAAACCTCCAAGGAAGGAGAGCCCACCACCTCCCGTTGGAGTCTGTTCCATTGTCAAACAGCTCTTATTGTCAGAAAGTTCTTCCCAATGATTAGTCGGAATCTCCTTTCTTGTAACTTATGAACTGTTTGTAACCACCTCTGAAGCTAAAATTTGCTGTGCATAGAGGGGGAATCCCAGTTAGTGTCTAAGGCAGATTTCCTCCCAGTGCAAAGAGTCAATTCGGTTGAGTGGACCACAACCCCCAGCAAGGGGAAGGAAGGAGGGAATTCTGCCTCTCACTTGGACTATTGCAATGCGCTCTATGTGGAGCTACCTTTGAAGGTGACCCGGAAACTACAACTAATCCAGAATGCGGCAGCTAGACTGGGGACTGGGAGCGGCCGCCGGGACCACATTATACCGGTCTTGAAAGACCTACATTGGCTCCCAGAACGTTTCCGAGCACAATTTAAAGCTGTAAACAGCCCCAGCCTGGTATACCTGAAGGAGCGTCTCCACCCCCATCGTTCAGCCCGGACACTGAGGTCCAGCACCGAGGGCCTTCTGGCGGGTCCCTCACTGCAAAAAGCCAAGTTACAGGGAACCAGGCAGAGGGCCTTCTCGGTGGTGGCGCCCGCTCTGTGGAACACCCTTCCATTGGATGTCAAGGAAATAAACAACTACCAGACTTTTAGAAGACATCTGAAGGCAGCCCTGTTTAGGGAAGCTTTTAATGTTTGATGCATTACTGTATTTTAATATTTTGTTGAAAGCCACCCAGAGTGGCTGGGGAAGCCCAGCCAGATGGCCGGGGTATAAATAATAAATTATTATTATTATTATTATTATTATTATTTATTGTTATCTACACCTGCTAAGGATTCTGATGGTTATCAGCCAGCCAGAGACACCCCCCTTATTTACTATTTACATTTTTTAAAAGGTTAAATGCAAAGAATTTGGCTTCAAGTGGATACAGTGAACCTGTGGGGGAGATGGCGAGGTCCAGTCTCAAGCTGTGCACCATTGGGTCAATTTTCACCCATCAGCTACGCTGGCAGGGGCTGATGGGAGTTCTGGTCCATCAATATTTAGAGGGTACCATGTTGGCTGCCCCTTCATTAGAATGTCTGCAGAGAATCCCTCCCACACATATGGGGCAGAACCTGCCATTGCAAAGCTGATTTCCCCCTTCCCCTGAGTTTATCGTATTTGTTATTTAAACATGTCTATGCTGCGTTTCAGGGCAAAAACCCTCCCGAGATTGTCATGCACGTATAAATAAAACGTAAAATGCAAAACTGAAACCTCTTCTTCCAATAAAACTCAGCTGTTAAAATGGCAGTTTAAAATCATTTCACGGCACAACACTCATATAACACCAATTAAGGCAATCTAGAGGAAACCATTTTAAAAGCCGGAGAGGTATAAACCATGAAATCGTCAAAAATTGCACCCACTTACAGCATCTCAAAAGACACTTCTCTGCGGTGTCAGGGTGCTAACTCCCCCTCCCCTTTTCCTCTGTCACGCAGTTTGGTGTTAGGTTGCCAGCTCAGATCCAGACCCCAAAATGGCTCTTGGAGCATAGCTTGGAAAAGAAGAATTTTATTATTTATACCCTGCCCATCTGGGTGGGTTTCCCCAGCCACTCTGGGCATAAAACTGTTCATTATTGTTATTATTATTCTATAGAATACAGAGCTCACAGAACCAAAGAACTGCAGAGTTGGGACTCCCAAGGTTCATCTAGACTGACCCCTTGCAATGCAGGAATGATGACTAAAGAATCCCCGACAGGTGGTTATCTGACCTCTGTTTAAGAACCTCCAGCGAAGGAGTGGCCTTCCGAGTTGCATGGAACAATTCTCATGTATCTAAACGTAACTGATCGATCAATTAATTACTTAAACAAATGGTGATAAATCAACCCCCCAAAGCGTTTTTGCAGCCGGGCCCAGTATCAGGACCCAGCACCTGTGAGTCACTGTCAGTCACTGGCCCAGCAGGGCAGGCTGGAGCCAGACATCTGGGTCTGCAAACCACTGTTTAGATTTCCCACCATCCCCCAAAATTATCAGGGACGTTGCTGGGAATTTTAAGGGTCACATTCTGCTGTGACCAGGTGAGCTCATTACTTTGGCAGGTAGAGGGGCACGCCAGTATAAATGGGGTGCATTAGAAGCCCTTTGCTGTCCAAACCTGGAGCCAGCCTCGTTTGCAGCCTTTCACATTAGGTACGTTGCAAAATAATCAAATGAATCTGGAAGCAAATTTGCCCAGGTGTATTCCCCCCCACCCCCGGATTTCTTCCTACATTTCTGCTGGTGTGACGAAGTCTTTGGCTGTGTCCAGACAGCACTTTATTCTTTGAGATTTGCTCGCCTATAATTTCCAAACTTTATACAATCTTTCACATGACATGAAGGCCTCTTCTGGAAATCGAGCTTACGGTTTAATGCTCATCTCTGTGATCATTGCTTCCAGAAAAAATCCATTCGCAACCTCACGAACCTGGAGTTTTGTGCTGCAATTTCCTCACTGTTTCCATTTATTCAGTTATCACAGTTACATCACAACTTTCCACCCGGGAGTTTGAGGCTCCCCATTTTATCCTCACAACAGCCCTGTGAGGTAGGTTAGGCTGTGACCAGCCCAAGGTCACCCAGTAAGCTTCATGGCTGAGGCAGGATTTGAACCCTGGTCTTCCAGGTCCCAGTCTGATGCTCTAACCCAGCCTTTCTCAACCTGTGGGTCCCCAGATGTTGTTGAACTACAACTCCCATCACCCCTAGCTAGCAAGGCCAGAGCTCATGAATGATGGGAGTTGTAGTCCAACAACATCTGGGGACCCACAGGTTGAGAACCACTGAAGTCTAACTCATGGGTAGGCAAACTAAGGCCCAGGGGCTGGATCCGGCCCAATTGCCTTCTAAATCTGGCCCACGGACGGTCTGGGAATCTGCGTGTTTTTACATGAGTAGAATGTGTCCTTTTATTTAAAATGCATCTCTGGGTTATTTGTGGGGCATGGGAATTCATTTATTGCCCCCCCCAATATAGTCCGGCCCCCCACAAGGTCTGAGGGACAGTGGACCGGCCCCCTGCTGAAAAAGTTTGCTGACCACTGTACCACACTGTGGCTCTCTTTCATGGATCATGCCATGCGACGAATTTTGGGGTGGTATGGATCAGGGAGGGACGCGGGTGGCATTGTGGTCTAAATCACAGAGCCTAGGGCTTGCCGATCAGAAGGTCGGCAGTTCGAATCCCCACGACGGGGTGAGCTCCCATTGCTCGGTCCCTTCTCCTGTCAACCTAACAGTTCGAAAGCACATCAAAGTGCAAGTAGATAAATAGGTACCACTCCGGCGGGAAGGTAAACAGCGTTTCTTTGCCCTGCTTTGGTTCACCAGAAGCGGCTTGGTCATGCTCGCCACATGACCCGGAAGCTGTACGCCGGCTCCCTCGGCCAATAAAGCGAGATGAGCGCCGCAACTCCAGAGAGGGCCACGACTGGACCTAATGGTCAGGGGTCCCTTTACCTTACCGCTGTGTCACTCTGTGCCTACTGGTACGAATGAAATTTCATGCAGTGTGGAGGTATATCTGCCGGAGAGCCATCGTTCCACAGCATAATGGGCAATGCAGCATAAAAGGAACATCAGAAACCAGGGCAGAGGTGCTAGTATTATAACCAGGAAAGCGAAGGCAACCAGCCCCACATCTGAATGCAACCTCGGAGCCTCCAATCGGAGAGCCGTGTCACGCAGGCAGTAATGAATGTGTCTGCAAGGGTCATTCAGCCTTGCTCATCTGGGTGTATGAAAGACCCTGGAAATCCCCACTTGACATGGGATTAAGAGGGGCTGAGCTGCGGAAGTGGGCAGCAGATTTAGAAGTCTGGTGGCGTTTGTGGATTAAGCTGTTTTCCAGCCCTTTGCATTCTGCCTCGTTTTGCATGGCCCGCCTTGAGAGTGAATGAAACCAGCGAGGGGCTGGGGGAGAAAGGGATTATCGGATGGGGCGGACAATGAGGCAGGAGGAAGGGGGAGGCTCCCCTAGCCAGCGGGAGAGTGTTGTGTGTGCACGCAAAGGATGCCAAGCTCTTAATCCTCCTCTTTTAATTACAAGGCCCAGATAGGTAGCTTCCAGGAACTGGGGGCACGAGAAAGAAGCAGGGGACAGACTGCGGTTTGTGCGAAACGACGGAAGAAGCAGTCGGAGGGAATTGTTTGAGGCGTTGTGAAGAAGGGGAAAAGAAATGAAAGCGAGCAGATCCTTCAAAGAAGGCACTATGCGTTCTCTCACATTTCGCCATCTTTCCTTTATCCCTCTTTCCCTCAAGATTTCCGACCTACCAGCATCTCAGCAGCCCCAACCGATCAACGTCTGAGTGGCCCAAGAGTGTGTTGTGCTAACAGAACCATAGCCTAAACAGCGAGCAAATTCCAGATTCTGCAAGCTCCAACTAGAACTTACTAGCAGAGCACGCAGCAATATGAAAGTATTTTGCAGAAACAAAAATAATATTAATAATATTTTTAAATGGGTAGTGTAATTTGTGAGCTTGGACCATGCCAAACAATGGGCCGAGTCCATCCAAAGTCACATTTGGTTCACCATCTTGATTCAAAATGTCACCCAGCATCCAGGCATCAATGAAGACAGCTGCCCCAGCTCGGGAACCTTCGTGCCAAAATTGGTGACTATATCTCAAGAGATGGCCAAACGTATGCCTAAAAAATATGGGCAAAGTCGCACCAAAATCACATTTCGGTGTGCCATCTTGAATCAAAATTTCACCCAGCATTGAAACATCAACAAAAACTGTCCCCCCTATAACCCTCATTCCACGTTTAGCGATGATACCTTAAGGGGCAACCAAATCCATTGGCAAAGTTGTACCAAAGGCACATTTGGGGATGGATCAGGGCAATTGAGATGAGGTTAGTTCCAAGGAGGTTGTTGTGGTTGCGAGATTGCCTGTTCCACAAGGTGGTCTCTAACTGGCCTTAGATAGGCTTGTCCTCTCTGTTAAGAGACCAAGTGTGCTGATTGGGACTGCAACTTGACTCTGCAATAACTGGGGAAGTCCAGGGGCTGGTAGCCAGAAATGCCTTTCTCCAGCTTCATAGCAGTCCTGCAGAGATCTGGCCTGTAGACTTTGAAGCCAACCCAAGGGTCAACAAGTCCAATCCTTGCAAGGCAAGAATAATAATCCTTGTTCCGCTCATGCCCAACTCAGGTTTGTCATTCGCTGTAGGCTGGGCTTCTTTTAAAGACAACCAGGAAAGTTGTAGTAAACAAAAAATCTGCCCTTTTCCCTTTTGGGGTATCCAAGAGCCCGTATAGAGTCCTTAAGTGGTAGGAGAAAATAACAGAGGCCAACCAGAGAATATTGAGAAGCAAAGCAGCTAGTAAGCTTGATCTTTATTGATCTGTTGCAATAGAGTCCTCACTCACCACATGCAGGAGGAAGGAGGAACCCAGAACAATGGTGCGCAAGGCCTTATATAGACATTTTAAATTCCCAACCCTGGAGCTCCAGACCACCCCTCCATACATCATACATCAATCACAGAAGGGGTGTAACCTAAGACCACTCCCCAGATAACTACATCACAGAAAAGGTGGTCTAAAACAGAAATTTGAATGTTGTTTTTCCTGTTTGCCAAAAGCTTTTTTATAAAGTTATACTTAAACATTTTTTGTCTTTCCTGATTGTCTTTCCTGATAGTCTGTCACCCATTAAAATGCTGATTACTCAATTCCTGAGACAATGGGAAGGCTCCCCAACGCCCCTCCCTCCTTGCAGGGAAAACATTTGATCAGTTTGGGAATCAAAATGGTTTCAGGTCAGTCTTCCTGTGCTGATCTATGTATGTGCTTTGTTGGTGCACTTATGAACATTTAACATATATCTAAGACTCCAAAGGAGGGACGTGGGTGGCGCTGTGGGTTAAACCACAGAGCCTAGGACTTGCCGATCAGAAGATCGGCGGTTCGAATCCCCACGACGGGGTGAGTTCCCATTGCTCAGTCCTTGCTCCTGCCAACCTAGCAGTTCGAAAGCACCTCAAAGTGCAAGTAGATAAATAGGTACCACTCCAGAGGGAAGGTAAACAGTGTTTCCGTGCGCTGCTCTGGTTCGCCAGAAGCAGCTTATTATGCTGGCCACATGACCCGGAAGCTGTACACCGGCTCCCTCGGCCAATAAAGTGAGATGAGCGCCGCAACCCCAGAGTTGGCCATGACTGGACCTAATGCTCAGGGGTCCCTTTACCTTTATCTAACACCCCAAAATTCCTATCACAAAGTTAATGCCTGCTGCAAAATGTGGCCGTGAAGAGCATTTCTTAGAGTGGTACCATATAGATGCGTTAGAATAACATGCATTTTTATTTAAATCTCTTTTTTCACATTGCAGTTCCCGTTTACAAAAAGGAAGCGGTTCAGACGGCCACCTCCCCTCCACACAACCCCACACAACATTTGGTGCAATGAAATCAGGATCCCTGATGGAGCAACTGTGTACTCCCATTTGTTCTGCCACTGTTCCAAACTGGAACCCTTTTACCCTGGAACGAAAGATGTTCCCTGCACCCCGAACGGATGTGCGAATTGTATCTCCTGAGCTTGAGGCTGTGCACCCTGTTGTGTCATATAATGAGAGAGTCTGACCTCGCGAGTTGACCAAAGGCTCTCCAGGCCTGGACTCCTCCATCAAAGTGTGAATCTGTTTGCCGTTCCCCAAATCCCTCTTTATTTACGGCCCCCGTTTCCTTCCATCTGCTCCTGCTGTTGCTCAGCCAGCCTCTTGCTTTACCGTATTTTTAACTAGTCCAAAATCAGCAGTTAGCTTCGAAAATGAGAGTTCCCCAGCGCTTGGTGACAACTCATGCGATGATACCGATTTATTCAGCAAGGTGCCCATTTTTTAAAGTACCTGTACAAGGTATATCCATTCCAACACACTATCTCTTTTTTTATTTTTTTTAAATGATATTTATTAAAGTTTCAAAGAAAAGATTACATAGATAAACAGAAAAGAAAAAGGAAAAAAAGAAAAAAGAAAAAATTACAAAATACAAAATACAGAAAAAAGATAAAAAAAACACTTAAAAAAACAAAACACATCGATCTTTCCATAACTTACATTTCATTTCCTTACTTCCCTGACTTCCTCACACCTCCCTTTTTTGTATTTCAGTTCTATTAGTTAATTCAGCAATTCCTTTCCCTCTTTGTTTTTATCTTAGTCCTTTAACTTAACATATTATAACTTTGGATTCTCACCTGTTAACAATCCATTTTTACATACACCTTTATAACATTGCTGCTAAGACCACTTAATTTCATTCTGACATCATTCTAACATTCATTAATTTTGCAGTATTTCTGTAGATAATCTCTGAATTTCTTCCAATCTTCTTCCACCAACTCTTCTCCCTGGTCTCGGATTCTGCCAGTCATTTCTGCCAGTTCCATGTAGTCCATCAGCTTCATCTGCCATTCTTCCAGAGTGGGTAAATCTTGTGTCTTCCACAACACACTATCTCTTTAAAGCACACGTGCAAAGAATCCTGCGAACCCTCATTCATCCCTCCTGGCAGAATCCCAGCACCTGTAATGAACCACAATTCCCAGAATTCTCCTGGGGAAGCGTCGTGCTTTAAATGTATGGTGTGTGCACGGCACAAGTGTACCGGTTTTCATGCACTTTGATAACTGTGTCCCAATCACACCTCTCAGGTGAGACACCGTTCTCAAATCATGCAGTGGAGCCATAAACAGTGAATAATCTGAGCCACGCAGGGCAGCATTCTTACAGTTTCGTAAGATATAAGAAGCTGCCTTCTTGGCCCACCTAGATCAGTGCTGCCTGCACTGGCGGGCAGTGCGTCTCCAAGGTGTCAGACCTGGGATCGTCTGCATGCAAGGGATTCTCTCTGTTGCTGATCTGTGGCCGTTCCCTAAGTGCTATCTCGGGGGCTGCCTTTGAGATCCTGTTTATGCAGTGCGCGATCTGAAAGGTACCGCTCAGCACCACTTCTGATTTCAAGGGATGCTAAGATGCACTCCTCTCCCAGGAGCTTGCCGGTCAGTAACCACACAGTTCAGAATTGGACTTAACTCTTTATTAGCAGAAGCACGATCTGCACAGGAGTGTCAGGCCTAGTGAGCGCAGCAACCCATCTCTAGGCCAGAGGAACATTGCTGGATGCAAACGCCCATCCAGTTTTGTCTCAGCTGCAAGCATGGAAGGCTGATGCCTGCACATAGATCTTCCTTGCCGCATTGTCTGTGTGCACATGCATGTCCGTTCCCCATCATCTCTGTGCCCTGCGGTCCTTTCTCCGCTTTCATTAACTGCCCAAAGTTAGAGCATGAGAAATCACGAATCGTAGGCTGCCACACCCCTTCTGCCAGAGCACAGGGGAGGGAAGACCCCCAAATTCCTCTCTGGCGTGAGCATTTGAAATCCAGCTACAACCTTTCGAATCAAGGGCATTGGCAACCTTTGCGAGGATGCAGTAATCCTGCTTTTGCAAAGGGCTTGATTAATCTTCTCCCTTTTTGTTGTTTCCAATTTCCATTCCTTTTCCCTCGACCCCTTTCTACTTGCTTATGCCCCTTGGCCAGGTTTATTTCTGTGAAAGGGCAATTGCTCAGGTAGGTCATATTTATTCCCGCCCCCCGCCTCCCCCGGCTTTGAAGCTATCCTCTTTCAGGGGTGCATTTCACACAACGGCTTCAGTCAAGGGTCTCGCAGCTAGAGAGGCGATGGAATTAGCACACAATAGATCAATGGCTTTCCGGAACACTTTCATTCCTGGAACACACGAGGCAGACTTACACAGGAGCCTCCGTTCCTCAGCTCTCTGATCTGCCTGTTTATTGTAGTGCTCGCTGCTCGTCTTCGTTTGCCAGGATCAACGGCAGCTTAGACAAAGCCGGATGCTTTTTTATCCAGGGAGACAGGCGCGCGAGTCTCGTGCAAGGGAGTTTCCTCATTGACACACACACCCTTCCTTGATCGTGGCGGGTTTTGATTTTCTGATTGTTAACGCAGGTGGAAGAGTCTGATCTAAGGGTGATTCTCTGTGGATGGTATTTGAGAGACTCTGCCATGCGCTCTCTTTCAGAGCATCAAAGACCTACAATATGTCCACATGGTAAATGCACCACTTACATGTTTTGATGTGTGTTTGTAAATGCACCACCTTCCCAAAAGTGCTGCAGTCTTGGACCAGCGTCAAGGGTCAAGATGACCAGGCACATGCCAAGGTCCACAGCTCTGCAGAGGACCCACCACTGACCTGTGTTTGGGGAGTGATCTCCCAAGGGAAGGGCCTTAGCTCTGTAGTAGAACATCTGCAGAACATCCCAGGTTTAATTGAAGGTGGAGACCTATCCCAAGCAGATTTTCATAATTTTTGAAAATACCATTGGGGAATATATAGAGATATCCCATGTAGCAACTATATTGTCCGCACACTAGATCAACATCTTCTTGGAGTGATTCGCAATGAACCCAAGGTGTCTCTCCTGTTCAGCTGCCCCCAGTTCTGACCCAGGAGTGTATATGCTGAAATAGCTGGGCTTTTGATACAGCCCAGTGAGAAACTTCTTACGTCCTCCTAAGTCGTCTTCTTCTTCTTCTTCTTTGGTGATCACTCATAGCTGAGTAAGATTGTCTTCCATAAACACGGTTTTAACAGTGAGTCCATAAGTGACTGTGGAGGCTAATTCTGGATCCACACGTCCTTCCACAGTGGGGACATAGGTTTCTGGCTGGGAGTTGATCATGGTGAGGGTTTGCCAAGCGTGCCTTCCTCTTAGCACGTTTCTCCCTTGCGTCCTGAGTTCGAGCATCTTCAAAACCCACGACACCTTTGGTAAAGGCTGTTCTCTAACTGGAGCCCTCGCAAGTCAGTGTTTCCCAATTGTTGGTGTTTGTACTACATTTTTAAAGATTTGCCTTGAGACAGTCTTTAAACCTCATTCGTTGACCACCAGCATTACGCTTTCCATTTTTACGTTCGGAACAGAATACAGTGGTACCTCGGGTTAAGTACTTAATTTGTTCCGGAGGTCTGTTCTTAACCTGAAACTGTTCTTAACCTGAAGCACCACTTTAGCTAATGGGGCCTCCCGCTGCCACTGCGCCACCACCACACGATTTCTGTTCTCATCCTGAAGCAAAGTTCTTAACCCGAGGTACTATTTCTGGGTTAGTGGAGTCTGTAACCTGAAGTGTATGTAACCCGAGGTACCACTGTAGTTGCTTTGGAAGACAGTAATCAGGCATCTGCCCAACATGACCAGTCCAACGAAGTTGATGTTGAAGAATCATTGCTTCGACACTGGTGATCTTTGCTTCTTCCAGTACACTGGCATTAGTTCGCCTGTCTTCCCAAGCGATGAGTAATATTCCTCATCCTCCTAAGTAGCCTTCACAGGGCCGCATGGACCCACACTCTGACTCTGTGTAAGGCAGATAGAGTCCTACGACTGGAAGTAAATTATATTTTGGAAAGCGGAAGACCTCAGGGTCTCCTGTTTCCCTATTGTGTTTTCGGCTGGCGTGAAATGATGCACAGCTTTCTGCATTGAGGTCAGCGCAGCAGACATCTGAGTGGAGGGACCCGCCACAGCCAATTCCTGGCATAAATCTAGGGTGATCGTGTGGTGAATCATTTGTCTGCCTCCGGTGCGAAATCTGGCTGTGGAGCGCATCTTCCTCCCTGTGGAAAGTGTCTGGAATGCACAGTTGCCGCTGGCCTCACGGTTTAATTGCCTTGGAGTGAATCAGCATCACCAGTTTGGGGCTTTGTCAGAAGAAAAGGAAATGTGTGTCTGTTTAAAAATAAGATGACATTTAAACCAACATTTGGGTGACTATCTGGACTGACAGAGAGCAGAAATAGTCCCAAATGATGCTGTGATTTTTGCTCCTGGTGTCTTTTCACACCACTATGGTAAAGACGGTGTTGGGAATAAGATTGAGGAAAAACTAAGTGTTGTTTTCTCTCTCTCGGTTATTAATATTTTTATTTTAAGGTTTTTCTTTTCCCCGTTTGACGCACCTTCAAAGGTGTTGCTGCCTTAGCAATTGAAATAGAGGAAATATTTATACGAGATATAAATACACTGCATAATGCAGCAGGAAAAGGCTGGGAATAAAACCGTTATGGAGGTAAAGGTGGGAAGTCAAACCATTAAGGGAAATATGTATTAAAGTCAGAGTTAAGGTACCAGTGTATATAAATTACAGGAAAAGCCATTGCCATTATAATCGTCTTTTCTTTTAATGGGAGAATAATGATACCTTTAGGAGGTTACTGTAAAGCAGAGATTTCCATGCCAAGTATTAATGACAGCAGCAGCAGCACTAACAACTAGGGCGATGTGTCACAAGCAAATGATGGTTTGGCATGGATTGTTGCTTACAGGTAGTCTGCATGCAAGGCCGAGGATCACCTGTAAGCAACAATCCATGCCAAACCATCATTTGCTTGTGACACATCGCCTGGTTGTTAGTGCTGCAATGGTACCCACCTGAGAGGTGCCAGAACCGAGTTCTGGCGAGTTTCGGCTGGGAAAAAAGCCCTGATTATTGTAATGGCATAAGAGAGGGTGCAGCAAGGAGGGGAAATAAAAACACAGTGGAAAGTGGGATGGGAAGTCGACAAAACAAAATAAATAGATTATTATGTATTGGAATGTATAGGTGAAATAATAAAATATAATGGGGGGTGGGGAAGAATTATTAGTTACCCCCTATACTGTATTGTAGGTCTGGGAGGTGGAGGCTGAGATATTCTGGCTTCCCAAAAACCAGCTAATCATATTCATACCAGAGGTGAGATTCCTTTTGAGATAACGGTTTCCATTTTTAGCTCTGCTGACCTCCAGAATAGCCAGCGGTAACAAGTCACCCCATCTCATTCATCCCAGGAGAATATGCAAAGTCTTAGTTCCAGTACTTTAGGCTAAGCTATATTAGAGTAATTGCACAGACTTTCCCCCCCAAACAACCATTTTTGCGTGCATTCTCCCTCTAAAATATACGTATGCTTTTTCAATGCATTTTCCTGCTAAAGTGCAAATTTTTGTATGCATTTTTTTTTTAACCAAAACAGCATCGCCATAATCAGAGAAGCGTTGGAGCCAACTCCTAGGAACCAAGGTCCCTTTGCCCCACCCCATAAAATATTTGAGGGGGCTGCCCCCCCCGAAGTTAATGGGCATTGCCATTCAAATGGTGTGATCCATTATGATGTGGGGCAGGGCTTACATGCCCTCCCCGAATATTTTATTCAGGTTGGCACCCCTGGTGTGGATCAGCAGCCGCGCTCCGATGTACTGCAAAATTCCAATTAGGCCGCAGACTTTAAAAATACATTCCGCATACGTTTCTCCTCCATCCCTAATAACACTGATGCAAAATATTATTTGCTACACGCCAAGCAAAATGGGATGTGGGTGGCGCTGTGGGTAAAACCTCAGTGCCTAGGGCTTGCCGATCGCATGGTCGGCGGTTCGAATCCCCGCGGCGGGGTGAGCTCCCGTCTTTCGGTCCCAGCTCCTGCCCACCTAGCAGTTCGAAAGCACGCTTAAGTGCAAGTAGATAAATAGGTACCGCTTTATAGCGGGAAGGTAAACGGCGTTTCCGTGTGCTGCGCTGGTGCTGGCTCGCCAGAGCAGCTTCGTCACGCTGGCTACGTGACCCGGAAGTGTCTCCGGACAGCGCTGGCCCCCAGCCTCTTAAGTGAGATGGGCGCACAACCCTAGAGTCGGACACGACTGGCCCGTACGGGCAGGGGTACCTTTACCTTTTTACACGCCAAGCACAGGGTCCTGGGAGGCAGAAACCACTGACCCAGCTCTGGTTCCAGGCTTGCAGTTTCTGTTCCAGCAACCCCGTCGTCCAAATAATAGCACAGCTCATTCCCTTGAGTTGGCTTTTTTCGTCAAACAGCCCCACCCAGCTGCCTGTTTGCACTCCCCTTCAATAAAGCTTTTAATTGCTGGGACATAACGTTTAATTGCATTGCATTTAGATTGCTGGAGGGGAATTGGCAGTCCAGCCGCGCGGAGATCAGAGAGCGCTGTGGCTCGGCTAACCGCAGCGTTTGATTCAGCCCTCTCTGCTCCAGCCCGACCGCAAAGACTATATGTATATAGTGAAGCGACGCGATGTACGCCTGGCAGCAGATGTGTCCCGAGTTCAGCGGATTGCGCGTTTGAGTAAATAGGCACGGGCTTGGGCTGCAGCCTGAATCCGTGTCGTTTGACTTGGGTTAGGGAAATACTTAATATACCTTCCAGCTCGGTGGGAACCCCAGGGCGGCTCGCGGTAAGGACGTTTGACAACGAAACAGTTTCAAAACGAAAGAAGCTGCCAGCAATAATAGCAAGGCCAAAGAGCAGCCAAAAAAGCCACCCCCAAAAAGCCAAGAGGAATAGACACACAGAACTGATCGTAGGTCATAAAAGGGACCCCAGGGGGTTATCTATTCCAACCCCCTGCAATGCAGGAATCTTTTGCCCAATCCACAACCCCGAGATAAAGAGTCTCATGCTCTACCAAGATCTGCATACAAGGAGATGCAAGATCCTTCTGATCTGCTTTCTGCAGTTTTCCAATGAGGAAGTCAACTGAGACTCCCGAGGCAGAGAATTCTAAAATCTGGATGCCTTAACCAAAAAGGTGCTGTTTGCATCACCTCTCTCCAAGCTTCCGAGAGAAGGAGGCGCCTGGAGCAGGGCCTCTGTCAGTAACCAAGCACGCAGGGTTTGGTCTGAGGAAACCATTCTCATAAGGTTCCCTGGGAAACGGGATCGATGGTTGAGCCACTCTGGGAGTTGTTGTTATGTACTGAAGTTCTCTCCCTTGGCCAGCAGGGGGATACTGTAGATAGTTTTCACTCAGGTCCACATATGCAAATAAGGAATTGAAAGCGACGTTCAGTGATTGGATAGTTACAGAAAGTTGTTACTGTTGCTTTGTAGCTGAGCTCTGTATAAGCAGGTTGGCTGAGCCCTTCAGTTCAGTTCAGTTCTGGCCTGTGAATAAACAAGAGCTGTCTGAAGAATCGCTGTGGCGTCTGATATGTTCACCCACAACTTAACAGTTGTAGCTCTAACTACTCTCAGAACCCTTTGCAAACTATAGCTCCAAGTGGGGAGGAAGCTGTGACGGTTAAAAGTGTTGGCTATTTGCAGAATAGTTGCGCTGCAGAAAGCGTGCTGGGGAGACCACACATTCAAGAAACGCAAAATAACTTTTGCTAGGTTTTAATAACAAAAACTCCTTTTACACTAAATTACATTATATCAATAAGTGTGACCCATCCACCAGGGTGCTGAGAGAACTACATGCTGCTCTTTATATACCATACCCAACAGTTTAATTACCACAACTTAACAGCACCTTCTATACTGCTTCACAGCTGCAAAACCAGGTCACGTTATTTGCTCTGGCCTTTAAAGAAATACACGTCTTGTGGAACAAGAATGAACCTTCAGATTTAAAGAGACCATTCAACAAAAAGCGCTATGGTAGCTCGCACCTGTCGCTCTGCCTGAGCCTACCTCGCAGGTTTGTTGTGAAGATGAAGGGCGAGGGAACAGCGTAGCCCTGCAAAGCTCTTAACAAGGGTGGGATTTTTAAAAATTGCATTTATTGGTGTGCTTGTTTGCTTATGGTTGCGTTTATATCCCACTATTTTCTCTGAGGGTCTCAAGGTTTGCCACTCCCCATTTAATCCCCGCAACAACCCTGTGAGGTAGGTTAGGCTGAGAGGCAGTGACTGGCCCAAGGTTGCCCAGTGAGGTTCACAGCCGAGTGCGGAATTCGAACCCTGGCCCTAGTCCGACACGCTGAATATGATTTGATCTTGAGGGGACGGGTGTGTTTGTGTAGGGGAGGAATGTTGCATTGGGAGAGAATTACTGCCTCATTGCCTCAGTTGGTTTTATGTTCTCACCCTTCTCTCCCCGACAGCCGCTGCTGCTCACTTCAGCTTCTGTCAGAACCTTTTAGAACACACCGTGTCGGCCGAGAACCTCAATTACCGCCTGCAGAGGAACTCTGGCAGCAGCCTGACCTGGCACGACGGGCGAAGCCAGCGGTCGGCGGGAGGGAGGACCGTCAAACTCTTACAGCAGCCAGGAACGGAAGGCTCCCAGGTATGATGGTGGGCAGGAAGTCTGCAAATGTCGCCGGGATCTGTCCCTTGGCAGGAACCAAAGACCCGCTGGTGCTTGTTCTCCGACATGCAGCGAAACCGGCTGTGCGCCTGCACTGACAAGGGTCTGGGGGCCGCATGCGGGCCCCCAGGCCTCTCTGCAGCACCCATCACCGTACGTGTTTCTGCCTGGGTAGGCAATGCTCTGGAAACCAGATTGCAACTCCCTGCTTGCTTGGCTGCAGGATACAGAGGGGTGTGGGCGCATGCGTACAAGCTAGCTAATGGCAGAATTCACGACCGTTGCCCCGCCCACTTTTGCCTCAGGCCCCGCCCACTGGAGTGCAGCTCCTCCCTCCTGGCACCAGTCAATCCCGATCAGCTGCGGAGTCCTGGATCGAAAAGGGTTCTGTCCCCAAAGAGGTTCCTCGCACCTTGGTCCGTGGAGATCCATGCGCAACAATTGCACATGCCTGTGCATTTTGCGTGTGCAACTGCTGGAAAGCCAGGCTATATGCCCTCGTGGGTTTTTGTTGCACGGTGTGGCTGGAGCAACCCAACCAGATGCGTGGGGCACAGATAACACAATTATTATTATTATTACTATAATTCTCTGTCTGTGAATTGAGGGTTACAGCCAGACTGTTGCAGGGGTTTTTTTTTGGGGGGGGGGTTTCAGTCTGGATGATGCCCTGAGTCCCTTCCAGGTCTTGGGATGCTGTGCCCAGTGAGGGCTAGAATTTAATAGGATCCAATTGCTGAAGTAATAATAATAATAATAATAATAATAATAAATAATAAATTTTATTTATACCCTGCCCTCTCCAGCCGAGACTGGGCTCAGGGCGGCTAACAACCAATAATAAAAACAAGTTGATTGAAATACAACTTAAAAAACAAGATTAAAATACAACATTGAAACATTAAAATGCAGCCTCATCACAGGAGAAAGGAAAAAAGAGAAAGAGTGGGAGGGAATGAAATTGATTCTAAGCCAAAGGCCAGGCAGAACAACTCTGTCTTAAAGGCCCTGCGGAAAGAAATCAGATCCCGCAGGGCCCTGGTCTCACGAGACAGAGTGTTCCACCAGGCCGGAGCCAGTGTTGAAAAGGCCCTGGCTCTAGTTGAGGCTAATCTGAATTCCTTACGGCCCGGGACCTCTAGGATGTTGCTATTTATGGACCTTAAGGTCCTCCGCAGGGCATACCGGGAGAGGCGGTCCCGTAGGTGCGAGGCTCCTAGGCAAGCTTCTTTGTAATGCAGCGACCTTCACAGCTGGCCACCCAAGTGTCCTCATCAGCATCCCAAAAGAATGAGCTCTTTGCAAGAGCTGCAAGGAAGTGATGGTGCCCTCCAGGCTAAGGGGTGGGCCTATCCTCCTCTCACCCTCACCTGTTGTGTAGAATAATAGCTGGAGAGTTCACAGAATCCTGGAGTTGGAAGGTACCACCAAATCCAACCCCCTACAAGGCTGTGTGTATGTGTGAGTGAGTTGAAAACAGGCTGGAAGCTAGAGACACAGAGGCAAGCTGAATCTGTGACTAATAGAGAAGCAAGATCTGTTGGGGTGTTCATGCTGCGAGCCCCTCCATATTAGAATCAGTTTATTATTATTTATTGTTTTATTGTTTTTAAATTTAAATTTTTTTATTGAAATAATTCAACATTGATACAGTTATACATACATATTACGGATATACAAACTGTCAGGAAACTGCCATCGGCTCAGAGGCGAGAAATAGAAGGGCAGTTGTGTTACAGGGAGCCTCCGAAAATCTTGCAAAGCAGCTCCTCTTCCGGGGAGGAGGAAAGCCCCACCTCCAGTGGGGAAGAGGTGCAAGGACCAGAGGATGCTGGTGGGAGCCTTAACACCGCTTCCGGGCAAGCCGGACAGGAGGGAAACACGCCTTTGCCATCACCCATCCTGTGCAGTAGTTTGGGGCGCAGAGAGGGGAGGAGACGTTTTGGGGTAACGAAACTCTTATGTTGGGGGAGGTCCCAAAAAAGACCACCCCCAGATTCTGCTAGCGATTGAGCCAGATGTGAGCTTTGAGGCAGAGAGCTAGTGTGGTGTAGTGGTTAAGAGTGATAGACTCGTAATCTGGTGAACCGGGTTCGATTCCCCACTCCTCCACATGCAGCTGCTGGGTGACCTTGGGCCAGTCACACTTCTCTGAGGTTTCTCAGCCCCACTCACCTCACAGAGTGTTTGTTGTGGGGGAGAAAGGGAAAGGAGAATGTTAGCCGCTTTGAGACTCCTTCGGGTAGTGATAAAGAGGGATATCAAATCCAAACTCTTCTTCTTCTTCTTCTTCTTCACTGTAAATAGTTTACACCAAAATAAAGCCTGTAAAAGACAGGTCGGAGTCCTGCCTGGTTACTCGTGAGCAACCGCAACAGCCACCTGACACAAACAAACATACATTTCATACAATCCTAAAAAATATTCATACATACCCACACACAATCCCGCACATACTTCCTTTTCCCATCACCGTCCCTTACCCCACCCTGTGCTAGACTTCCAATCTACTCAATTGCAATTTCTATTTATTATTTATTGAATTTATATACCGGCCTATATTCAGGGCAATTCACAGAATAAAATTTAGAAAAAGGGGAAAGACCCCTGGACAGTTAAGTCCAGTCAAAGGCCACTATGGGGTTGAGGCGCTCATTTCACTTTCAGGCAGAGGGAGTCGGTGTTTGTCCGCAGACAGCTTTCTGGGTCATGTGACCAGCAGGACTAAACCACTTCTGGCGCAACGGGACACCGTGATGGAAACCAGAACAGTGCACGGAAACACTGTTTACCTTCCCGCCGGAGTGGTACCTATTTATCTACTTGCACTTTGACATGCTTTTGAACTGCTAGGTGGGCAGGAGCTGGGACAGAGCAACGGGAGCTCACCCCGTCGTGGGGATTCGAACCGCCAATCTTCTGATCAGCAAGCCCAAGAGGCTCAGTGGTTTAGACCACAGCGCCACCCGCGTCCCTGAATCACAGAATAAAATCAGGATATAAAACCACAAAATACATAATCAATCTTTATTACGGTTCAGAGACCCAACAAATTGTTACAAAGCAATACACAATTTATACAGCCTACCTCCAGGTTAAACAAGCATTTTGTTCAAAATATAGGGATCATTGGTTCTTGCAACCACCGATAAAAACTTTGCCACTGCTAATGTTCTAGCGTTTGTCTGGTCTTCCAATAGGAACCTGACATAGTGAGCCTCTGATTTTCCCGGGAAAGGTACCAGCAAGGGTAATACATAATAAAAATTAAAACAACAACCCAATAGCTCCCCACCAAACACACATTATGCTAAACAAGAGCAGTTTTCGTGAATGTTTTCACATCAGAAAGCAACCCCCTCATTCCAGTGAATCTTGAGGTTGTGTATATGTGTAACTTCTTGGGAGAAAAACAATGACAAACCTAGACAGCATCTTAAAAAGCAGAGACATCACCTAATCAGCAAAGGTCCGTATAGTTAAAGCTATGGTTTTCCCAGTAGTGATGTATGGAAGTGAGAGCTGGACCATAAAGAAGGCTGATCGCCAAAGAATTGATGCTTTTGAATTATGGTGCTGGAGGAGACTCTTGAGAGTCCCATGGACTGCAAGAAGATCAAACCTATCCATTCTGAAGGAAATCAGCCCTGAGTGCTCACTGGAAGGACAGATCCTGAAGTTTAGGCTCCAATACTTTGGCCACCTCATGAGAAGAGAAGACTCCCAGGGAAAGACCCTGATGTTTGGAAAGATGGAGGGCACAAGGAGAAGGGGACGACAGAGGACGAGATGGTTGGACAGTGTTCTCGAAGCTGCCAGCATGAGTTTGACCAAACTGCGGGAGGCAGTGGGGGACAGGAGTGCCTGGCGTGCTCTGGTCCATGGGGTCATGAAGAGTCGGACACGACTAAGCGACTAAACAACAACATATGTGTAACTAAAACCATCTATGCTAAAGACATTGTGCTCTCCGCTGACCTTCATTCCAAAGAAACTGAACCCTAAATAAGAGAACCTCTGGAATCTCTCACTTCTCAGAGATTGGGGTGGTCTGTAACACGCACCATCCCTCCCCCCAAGAATTTTGGGAACTGTAGTTTACTTCCTCCCGCACAGCTACCATTTCCAGGGCCCTTAAGAAACTACAGTTCTTTGAGGAAAGCCATATGCTTTAAGGGCGTGGCACAGATTCTTTGAAGCCGTTTTGGCACATCTGCAGCGGCCCAAAGGAAGCCAAGACCATCCTCCTGCTTTTGGGATTACGGAGGTGGCCTTTCAGTCAGAATTAAGCCCCAGAAATACCTGCCAAAAACCAGCTCCTTTGTTCCTTTCCTTCTCGGGAACAGAGCTTTCCCTCCCTAACATCCTTCTTTGAATCTCAGTTCCGTCTTTTGCAGGAGGGGCGCTGAAGCAGGGGAGTTGGGTGGGGGACGACGAGAGGCTTGAAATGCAGAACTGGCTGCCTTCAGCCTGGAAGGAAAATACAGGGGAAAAGAAAAAGAAAAAAGCTTCCTTTTAAACCAGCTGAAAAATTGCCTCCAGGTGCCAGTCTCCGCATCTGTTCCATTTGTGGGTCACGTTTGAGGCAATGTATGCCAATTTGCGTTGTGGAGAAAGGGAGGGAGATGAGAGTGGCAAAATCCAGACCGTTTGCCAATTTGCAAGAAGGAGACTTAGCGTCAAGATTAATGCGCAGTTTGCTTTGGTCTGGGGGAAATTGCTAGTTGCCCTAGGTACCTATTACTCAGAAGTAAGGAGGGTTATTTGGATAAAAGTTGCTGTGGGCTCAGCGTCTTTTTTTCCAGCGAGGATGCCGTCACTCTTGGGCGCAGATTTCCTGGACCAATTTCCTCTTTTCTCTCCGGGAATTAAAGGCACACATGTGCTCTGTGCTACACATTCGAAAGCCTGCTTTTCATGCTTGAAAACAGAAAAAGATCAGATTCGCTTAGAGACTCTGAAGGTGGGACCAAGCCAAGGGGTTTCTTTCCCTCCCCAAATATTCCCTGACTCAAACAAACAAACAAAAATGAGCAGAAACTGGCAAGGGGGGCAGAAGAGGGTAACGGAAAGGGTCATGGGGGATGTACGTATTGAACACTCAAATTGCTATTCCGTGCTGGTGCTTGCCTTTGGAGCATGTTTGTATGCCAGGGTCCATGTGTTTGTGTCACAAAGGATCATGGGCAGCAAGGAAGTTCAGAGCAGCCTTTTAAAAGGAGAGTGTTTTTAGAGGGGAAAGGGTTATTATTATTATTATTATTATTATTATTATTATTATTATTAGAATTTATATACCGCCCTATACCCGGAGGTCTCAGGGCGGTTCACAGAAAAGATCAACATGAAAACCACAATATATATATATATATATATATATATATATATATATATATATATATAATAAAAATAAAAACAACAACCCAATAACACACCCACTCCATATCTGTTGAGAATATTAAGATCCTAAGCGCAGTGGTGTCTAAACTTTTTTCAAAGAGGGCCAGATTTGATGAAGCGAAGGGCCAACCAAAGTTGTTAACCTTAGGATTGAAGTTGTTGAGCTTTTTTGGAGGTTGAAGGTTTTTTTACAGTTGAAGTTGTTAAGGCTTTTTTAGGATTTTACCCCAGGAAATAAACTGAATTCAACCGACCGGCGGGCTCGATAAGGCCCCGAGACAGACATTTGACATACCTGTCCTAAGGGGTAGTGTCAATGATAGAAGCACTTACATGATTGCTGACACTTGTTAAACTTGTACAGTGGTACCTCTGGTTACGTACTTAATTCGTTCCGGAGGTCTGTTCTTAACCTGAAACTGTTCTTAACCTGAAGCACCACTTTAGCTAATGTGCCTCCCGCTGCGCCACCGCTGCACGATTTCTGTTCTCATCCTGAAGCAAAGTTCTTAACCCGAGGTACTATTTCTGGGTTAGCGGAGTCTGTAACCTGAAGCATTTGTAACCTGAAGCGTCTGTAACCCGAGGTACCACATTCTGATTTTTAGGGAAATATAAATATCTCTACCTATTGAGAATATTAAGATCCTAAGGGTTAGCATCAGTGATATCCCAATCCATGCAGAATGTTAAACGCTATATTGATGCATGGAATGACCCCAGACCTTTTTGTTCTCCCTTCCCGTACGGTATGATATATATGTCTATAGATATAGATATACCATATTTTTCGCCCCATAGGACGCACTGCCCCATAGGACGCACCTAGTTTTTTTTTGGGGGGGGGGGAATAAAGAAAAAAAAATTATTTCCCCCCCAGGCACAGGGCTGGCGCGGGGGAAGCCCGAGCTTCCCCCGACCCCAGCCCCCAGAACAGCCTGCTACCTGCAAGCCTAGGGAGCCGCGCCGGTCTCCCCAGGTTTGCGGAGAGCTGTGCGAAGCCCGGGCGCGCTCTTCAGCGCGCCCCAGGCTTCGGAATGCAAGCAGCTCTGCGCAACCTTTGGGAGCCCGGCACGAAGCCGCGCTGGGCTCCGGAGGGTTGCGCGGAGCTGCGCCGAGCCCCGGAGTGTAGGCAGCTCCGCGCAACCCTCGGGAGCCCCGCACGGCTTCGCGCCGGGCTCCCGAGGGTTGCGCAGAGCTTCCTGAAGCTTGGAGAGTGAGAGGGGTCGGTGCGCACTGACCCCTCACTCTCCAGGCTTCAGCGAAAGCCTGTATTCGCCCCATAGGATGCACACACATTTCCCCTTCATTTTTGGAGGGGGAAAAGTGCGTCCTATAGGGCGAAAAATACGATATTGCTGTTAAGCCACTTGGAGACCTTCAGACGACAAGCAGCTAATAAGCTGAAAAAGTGGTAATGATAAACAGCCCTAAATGTATGCTGGACCGCTGTTCTCTAACTAAGCCCCATAAGGATGCAGAAGGAGCAGTCTGGGTTCTCTCCTGAGGCTGCGCTGAGCCCATAGCCTGTGTTATGGTGATAATCTGCTGACTGACGGATGTATTGCTTGAGTTAAGAATGCACGGGTGGAGAAGCAAGCCCTCCGGTAGGCCACATCCACACTGCACATTTAAAGCACAAGGCTCCCCCGTCCAGGATCATGGGAACTGTAGCTTACTGCTGACAGAGCTACAGCTCCCTCAACAAGTTCCCAGGAGAAGCAGTGTGCTTTAAATGTATGGATGGAGGGTCCTGGATGTATTAGCACTAGTTTTCTTGGTGTTAGGTACCACCTGTAGGTATCTCCAAAATGCTGGAGAGGGTGCACCTCCACAGGCACATACCTCCACATGTGGTGGGAGTGCCCCAAAATCCAACTATTCTGGACAACAACCATACAAGAAATACGTAAAATAACCAAGCAAGTGTTAGAAACCACCCCAGAATTGGCCCTACTAAACATCTTCCAAGACAATAATGCCCATTTACACCACAAAGAACTCATAACCCACCTACTTTCAGCAGCCAGAGGCATCATAGCCAGACACTGGAGAGACCTGTCAGGAGTAAACACGGACCAATGGTACCGAATAGTATGGGAAACAGCCCTACTAGAAAAATTAACCAATAAACTGAAACTGTCACGGGGACAAATAGAAGAAGACGCCTTCACCCAGGTATGGCTCCCCTTTATCACATACACAGCCCACCCAACAGGACAATGACAAAAATCCACCAACAGCATACAAATCAGTATGGCTAACCTGATCCAAAACACCCACCCACCCCACTCACACACGAAAACAAAGACCACCACAGCCAACCACAAATGAACAGCCACACCCTAAGAAGAAGAAGAGTTTGGATTTGATATCCCGCCTTTCACTCCCTTTAAGGAGTCTCAAAGCGGCTAACATTCTCCTTTCCCTTCCTCCCCCACAACAAACACTCTGTGAGGTGAGTGAGGCTGAGAGACTTCAGAGAAGTGTGACTAGCCCAAGGTCACCCAGCAGTTGCATGTGGAGGAGCAGAGACTCAAACCCGGTTCCCCAGATTACAAGACTACCGCTCTTAACCACTACACCACACTGGCTCTCTACACCCTAGGCCAACCCCAACCTCTCTCACCACCAAAGGAACACAAGTGAACAGCAGAGAACCTGCACAAGCGATGCTGACACCAAACCCTACATATATTAAGTAAAATAGAAACATCCCCCTTTTCTTCCTAATGTATCAACAAATGAAACTGATTTGTAAAAACGTTACATGGGGAAAAAAATATGAGAGAAAGACATTGCACACACTTTTGTAAATCAACAAAATCTTTAATAAACCCCCCCCCCACACACACACAAATGTATGGATGGAGTGGATGTGGCCGCAGACCAGATTAGTCTCAGAGGAGCACCAGCGCCCTAGAAGGCAATCTACGGCGTTTTCCTGCCTCCTTGACCAAGCTCCCCAAAATAGTTTCCACCTCAGAGTTTGCAAGATTGGCGTCTGATTGCCTTTGCAGAGGAAGAACGGGCAGATGCGTATTCCAGCCTTGTTGCAATCTTGACAACGCAACTGGCAAAGCCGCTGGCTCCCCGCAAGACTGCGCCAGGCCTGACAGAAGCCCTTGCGCAGATCTTTAGGAATTATTGGGTTGACCCCGTGGCCAATCAGCCCCGTGGTCAATTGGGCAGGGAATTGGCCTCAATCTCCACTTGCCTGGCTTTTGGCATCTCTGAGGGACAAGCCATTAAGCAGGGCAGCAGGTCTTGACATGCCTGTTGTGCTAATTGCGGCAGCTCCTTAATTGGGTGTGCTTAATTAGCATGTCAAGCGCCATCAACCTTCTGAGTGCTGGCTGGACCCTGATACTTCCAATCTCTGCTTGGCTTCTGGTTTCCAGGTCCACAGAGTCACCCTGAGAGATCCGTTTTTTCATTTATCACCCCTTCTCTGAATTCCTTTGTCCTCTGTCTCTGCTGCTCCTTACACAAGCTTCCATTGCTACTCTTTTGCCACCTTCGATGGTGGTGGTGGTGATTTGTTTTCACGACTGTATTGGGGCAGTTAGACCCAAGCCCCATTTTCAATACTCTTTCTAATACCTGAAGGAACGTCTCCACCCACATCGTTCTGCCCCGACACTGAGGTCCAGCGCCAAGTGCCTTCTGGCAGTTCCCTCACTGCGAGAAGCAAAGCTACAGGGAACCAGGCAGAGGGCCTTCTCGGTAGTGGCACCCGCCCTGTGGAACGCCCTCCCACCAGATGTCAAAGAGAACAACAACTACCGGACTTTTAGAAGACATCTGAAGGCAGCCCTGTTAGGGAAGCTTTTAATGTTTAATAGGTTATTGTATTTTAGTGTTTTGTTGGAAGCCGCACAGAGTGGCTGGGGAAACCTAGCCAGATGGGCAGGGTATAAATAATAAGTTACAGTGGTACCTCGGGTTAAGTATTTAATTCGTTCCGGAGGTCTGTTCTTAACCTGAAACTGTTGTTAACCTGAAGCACCACTTTAGCTAATGGGGCCTCCAGCTGCTGCCGCGCCGCCAGAGTACGATTTCTGTTCTCATCCTGAAGCAAAGTTCTTAACCTGAAGCACTATTTCTGGGTTAGCAGAGTCTGTAACCTGAAGCGTATGTAACTTGAGGTACCACTGTACTACTATTATTATTATTATTATTATTATTATTATTATTACAGTGGTACCTCAGGTTAAGTACTTAATTCATTCCGGAGGTCCATACTTAACCTGAAACTGTTCTTAACCTGAAGCACCACTTTAGCTAATGGGGCCTCCCGCTGCCGCTGCGCCGCCGGAGCACGATTTCTGTTCTCATCCTGAAGCAAAGTTCTTAACCTGAAGCACTATTTCTGGGTTAGCGGAGTCTGTAACCTGAAGCGTATGTAACCCGAAGCGTATGTAACCTGAGGTACCACTGTATTATTATGGAGCATGGTAAAAAAAAATGGGGAAAGAGAAAAATGAGAGAGAACGGAAAGCAAGTCGGCCTCATGTTGCAGGTTGGGGTTAAAGGCAGATCCTGATCCAAAGCTGCTGTGCTGTGCAGTTATTCACAAAGTCCTTCCCTTAAGCCCGATGTCCCTGAACAGCTTGTTGCTGAAAAAGGAAAAAGGGAGGGTTTAGGCATGGGACTCCAACGGCCAGAGTTGGCTGCTGTTCAGCTGTCAATGCCATGCTGAAGCCAGCTCTTAATAGCTCTTCATTTTCCAGATTTCCAAATCATCCGGAACGTGATGCTTAACGCATCCTAAACGTTGCCTCTTATCAACAAGCTGTGGCTTTTGTCTGCCAAGAAGATTAAAACCAGCACGGCGGCCTCTGCGATCGCTGGGATGCTGTTCCGCAATTATCCAAACGGGGCGTGGGGGGAGTAGATGGGACTATGTGGGGGGCATTCCCTAAATTCTGCGGTTTGAAAGCCCCACATGTGCTCTTGGAATGAATTCAGGATGGACGGTTGAGTTAGATTTGTATCTCGCCTGTTCCTAGAGGCTCACCGTGGGTTCCTTATAATCTGAAAACAAGGCTAAAGGGGGGGGGGGAATATAATACAGTGGTACCTCGGTTTAAGAACAGTCCTGTTTACGAATGATTCAGTTTACGAACTCCGCAAAACCGGAAGTAGTGTCCTAGTTTGTGAACTTTACCTCGGTCTAAGAACGGAATCTGAATGGTGGAAGGGCGCCGGTGGTGGAAGGCCTCATTAGGGAAAGCACGCCTCAGTTTTAGAATGGTTTTGGTTTAAGAACAGATTTCCGGAACAGATTAAAGTTTGTAAACCGAGGTACCACTGTATTTCCAATGTTTTTGAAAATGTGAAGCTTTGAAGGCTAACATCCCCAGCAGAAACCATCCAATACAGTGGTACTTCGGGTTACGGACGTTTCTGGTTACAGACTCCACTAACCCAGAAATAGTACCTCTGGTTAAGAACTTCACCTCAGGATGAGAACAGAAATCGCACAGCGGTGGTGCGGCGGCAGCAGGAGGCCCCATTAGCTAAAGTGGTACCTCAGGTTAAGAACGATTACAGGTTAAGAACGGACCTCCAGAATGAATTAGGTTCTTAACCTGAGTTACCAATGTATTAGAAGAAGAAGAGTTTGGATTTGATATCCCGCCTTTCACTCCCCTTCAGGAGTCTCAAAGCGGCTAACATTCTCCTTTCCCTTTCTCCCCCACAACAAACACTCTGTGAGGTGAGTGGGGCTGAGAGACTTCAAAGAAGTGTGACCGGCCCAAGGTCACCCAGCAGCTGCATGTAGAGGAGCGGAGACTCGAACCCGGTTCCCTAGATTACAAGACTACCGCTCTTAACCACTACACCACACTGGCTCTTTCTCCAAGCTGCTCATATGAATGCAAGAAGAGCTTGCTGGATCAGACCAATGGCCTGTCCAGCCCAGTGTCCCATTCTCGCAGTGGCCAACCAGGTGTCTGGGAAGCTTGCAAGCAAGACTTGAGCACAAGAGCACTCAATCCATTTGCAATTCCCAGCAAGGATCTACTGCCTTGGGCAGTGGAGGCAGCCATTGATGCTCAAACTGCTCCAAGCTCATTGGAGTCACAGTTGTTACTATTCATTAATTTTGTTGTTGTTGTTGTTTAGTCGTTTAGTCGTGTCCGACTCTTCGTGACCCCATGGACCAGAGCACGCCAGGCACTCTTGTCTTCCACTGCCTCCCGCAGTCTGGTCAAATTCATGTTTGTAGCTTCGAGAACACTGTCCAACCATCTCATCCCTTCTCCTTGTGGCCCCAATCTTTCCCAACATGAGGGTCTTTTCCAGGGAGTCTTCTCTTCTCATGAGGTGACCAAAGTACAGTGGTGCCTCGCAAGACGAAATTAATCCGTTCCGCGAGTCTCTTCGTCTTGCGGTTTTTTCATCTTGCGAAGCACGGCTATTAGCGGCTATTAGCGGCTTAGCGGCTATTAACGGCTTAGCGGCTTTAAGAAAAAGGAAACAAACTCGCAAGAACTCGCAAGACATTTTGTCTTGCGAAGCAAGCCCATAGGGAAATTCGTCTTGCGGAACGACTCAAAAAACGGAAATCTCTTTCGTCTTGCGCGTTTTTCGTCTTGCGAGGCATTCGTCTTGCGAGGTACCACTGTATTGGAGCCACAGCTTCATGATCTGTCCTTCCAGTGAGCACTCAGGGCTGATTTCCTTCAGAATGGATAGGTTTGATTTCTTGCAGTCCATGGGACTCTCAAGAGTCTCCTCCAGCACCATAGTTCAAAAGCATCAATTCTTCAGCGATCAGCCTTCTTTATGGTCCAGCTCTCACTTCCATACATCACTACTGGCGAAACCATAGCTTGAAATATTAATTTATTAACTGCTTATTTGCCTGGGTGGCTCCTAAGCAGTTTACAGGTACGTATAAAGTCAAGCTCTTCCTGTGCTTCATGTGGCCACCCTGCTAAGCCCAAGGAAGTAGATGGCTGGCATATGAAATCATAGTATTCTATGGGACCCCTTGGTTCATCTAGTCCAACCTCCTGCAATGCGGGAATCTCAACTCAAGCATCCATGACAGATGGCTACCCAAACTCTGCTTAAAAACTTCCAAGGAATGAGAGTCCACAACTTCCCAAGGGAGTCCGTTCCACGGTCGAATTGCCCGGAAATGGATGCCCCACCCAAATCTCTTCTGTCAGTGCCCCCATCACTGTTAGAATTCCTGCTCCATGATTGCAGTCATGGGGTTGTTGTCTTTCACATGGCGGTATGTGTTTTGACTCCACAGAGTGGGAAGTGACGGAGACAGGATGTTTGTGTTGCTGTGATCCGTGAAGTGGGACTATTGTTCTTTTTCTCTTTGCTGTCTGATGTTAGAGAGAGAGAGGGAGCCGTGTTGCAGTGCTCCGTGTGTGTTTATATGTAAATAAAGTAGATTAGCCAAAATGCTGAGTTGCTGAGGTCTGTTACGCAAGCTGGGAAGACTCTGCGGATCCCTAAGTGTGCCGGTGTCAGTTGGCATCGGTCGCTGTGATGTTCGGGCTGAAGAAAGCTTTTGAAGCTCCCGAACGATCGACCAGGAAGGAGAGAACATGCCAGTTGGGCATGTGTCTCTGCCAGGGTCCTACTCGAGTGTAGGCTGAGCTCCTGACAATCACATCCCCTTCTCTCAATGGGTGGCAACCCCTCTCCCCATCTTAGCACAAACCTCCCCCTCTACACTGTACCCCCCCCCTCGTGAATGATGGTGGGACTGCCACAACTGCTGTCCACAGAGCAAAAGAGAAAGGATTCCTCTTTCTCTTTCTATCTTACCGGTCTGTTTTGTACATTTTTTTGGTCTTGATGCACGGTATTTACGGGTTCCCTTGTAAGCCGCCTTGTGGGGAGATTGTACCCTAAAAGGCAGGATACATGACCACGTTGAATAGATTACTAAAACCCCAGAACGACCTTTCCACCCCCATTCTCCGCAGCCCTGTATCCCTCCCTCACAGGCAGTGAGAGGCTGCATTGCAAATAGGTCCCTGTCTGGCAAGCATCTCAACAGGACGATCGAGCCACACACTGGGAAATGGACCATTTCTAAGACAGCAATATTTAGGTGCAGCTGTATACCTGAGGTCTCTAACACGGTGTCTTCACCAGTAGGGCATCTGCCTTGCATAAAGGTAGGACTGGGAATGTCTGTTTGCTGACGCCACTGCTCTCCGTGTTGGCAATACTGAGTTAAATAGACTAAAGAATCTGACTCAATATCAGGCAATTTTCTGTCTTCCCCTTCCATGACCTCCTCCAAGGACTCCTACTCTTCCTAGTTTAAAAAAAAAGAAAATGAAGGGTGTTGTTGTTTTTTTCCTTGGGAGAGGACTCACTCCCTGATTTTTTATTTTTTTGGTGGGGGAGAATCCTGATTTTTCATCCGTTTGTTTGGGGAGCTGTAGGTGATTCCCCCCCCCCAGTTTTTTTTTATTAGTTTTCCAAATTTATGACACATAAATCCACAAACATGAAAAGAAAACATTAAAAAACAAACAAACATTTATCCTAACTGTAATAATTCCACTTTTGTTAATGTTGTTGGGTGACTTCCTCGGGTGCCCCTGACTGAGTTTCCATCTAAATCATTGTAACAGTTTTCCAAAACTATTTTTACGTAGAATTTGCTTGGTTGATTAACATCTTTCTTTCTTTTCATTTTAACAACATAGTATTCTAAAACATCACATATTTAAATACTAGGTCTATCTGATACTTGCAAGTAGGTAAAGGTAAAGGAACCCCTGACCATTAGGTCCAGTCGTGACCGACTCTGGGGTTGCGGCGCTCATCTCGCTTTATTGGCCGAGGGAGCCGGCGTACAGCTTCCGTGGCCAGCATGACTAAGCTGCTTCTGGCGAACCAGAGCAGTGCACAGATATGCCGTTTACCTTCCCGCCGGAGTGGTACCTATTTATCTACTTGCACTTTGACGTGCTTTTGAACTGCTAGGTTGGCAGGAGCTGGGACCAAACAATGGGAGCTCATCCCATCGCGGGGATTCGAACCGCCAACCTTCTGATCGGCAAGTCCTAGGATCTGTGGTTTAACCCACAGTGCCACCCACGTCCCTGATACTCGCAAGTAATTCTATTTAAATTATCTTAACATATTTAGCTAAATAGTCTTTGAATTTCTTGGATGGGAGCTGTAGGTGTTTTGCCCATTTTTGGAGTAGGGCCTGAACACGGCCCCTTTCTCTTCTGTGAAGCGCGCATTTCCTGCTGCCCACAGCATTTTCTTAATCCCTGCTACTACACCCTCTTGTTGCAGGCGGTGTTTTGATATCCTAGGACCAAGGAGGAGACAATGAAATATAGATTTATCTAAGGTGAAGAACCCCATTTCCATGACGAACAGAGCCCGTGACAAAATAAAAACCCGGAGGAGAAAAGTGAAAACTGGTACCGGAGAGGGTGGGGAGACGGCTAGCGCATTGCAGCCTTGAGCATTTCCCGTAATTGGATTCTTAAGTAGCCGAGCCGCAGACGCCTGGGATGGTTTTACCCAGCGATGCCACAGACACTTTGCTCTGAGGTGGAAGAAGATGCCAAGTGACAGCCCAGCCTGAGCAGCGAGGTGGTACCAGTTGCATAATAGTGAAATGCCAGGGAGGGGAAGCGTTCAGAAAAGGACAGAGGGCTGCCGTGTGGGATTGTGGAAAGGGAACGGTGGCTCTGAAATGGCTGGCTCAGGGTTTGGCGGCAGGAGGGCAGGTCAGCGCCCCCAGTGGTCGGCAGCTGGCCGCTTGAGGGCCAAATACGCCTATGGCCTGAATCTTCTTAAAGCAATTAAATACAAGTACAGTCATACCTCTTGTTACGTTCGGTTCAGGTTGCGTCCTGCGGTGACCCGGAAGTAACAGAACGGGTTACTTCTGGGTTTCGCCGCTCGCGCATGCACAGACGCTCAAAATGACGTCACACGCATGCGCCGAAGCGGTGAATCGCGACCCGCAGATGCACAGACGCGGGTTGCATTCTGCTCATGATGCAAACGGGGCTCTGGAACGGATCCCGTTCACAACCAGAGGTACCGCTGTACAGTGGAACCTCGGTTGTCGAACGTAATTTGTTCTGGGAGACCGTTCGACTTCCGAAAAGTTTGACAACCAAGGCGTGATGGACGGTCGGCAAATTCCATTGAGAAAATGGAGAAACACATCTCGGAAGCCGTTCAACTTCTGAGGCGCATTCGAAAACTGAAGCATTCACTTCCGGGTTCTTGGCATTCAGGTTCCGAATCGTTCAGCTTCTGAGACGCTCGAAAACCGAAGTTCCACTGTAGTAGTTGAAGAGTGGTAGAGGAACTTCCGTATTTTTGTGTCACCAACCATAATAATAGTTCATTCTTGTTTTTATCTTGTATTTTGTGGGTTTTTTCTTGTGTTTTTAAGTTGCGAACTACAACTTCAATAAATAAATTCAGTAAATAAATAGTACCAGGCAAGGCCAGCCAAAGCCACAACATTGACAAAGGGACTCCATTGGCTTTATTGCCGCCATCTTGGGCCAGTGTTGCTGAGGGAACAGGACTTCAAGACGATGCCCTGACTGGCAGGCTGTGGTCCAGGGCCATTTTTGCGGGATACAAGCAAGGTGCTTGAAACCAGAAAGAGCACACAGCTCTCCTCAAAACAGAGGGGGTTTATTCCTGTACTGAGACAGAATTCTCTTGGGGCAAGAAATGAGCCTATGTGTACAAAGCAAAAACAAAAGACTGTAACTCCTGGTGACAAACCCAAGAGAACCAAAGTAATCTGGGGGAAGCAGCAACATGGTACGAGCAAAGTTCTGCTCCAACTTACCTGCCAAAGCCATTGGACACAGGATCCGAGTGACGCTGCATCCACCTAGAGTCGAAATTTAGAGTGAAAATGAAATTACAACTGCATTGGCAAGCTTCCTCTTACACATTCTACCTGTGTAAACCACTGAGCCTCTTGGGCTTGCCGATCGGAAGGTCGGCAGTTTGAATTCCTGCAATGGGTGAGCTCCCGATGCTCGGTCCCTGCTCCTGCCAACCTAGCAGTCTGAAAGCACACCAGTGCGAGTAGATAAATAGGTACCACTGTGGCAGGAAGGTAAACGGTGTTTTTGTGCTCTCTGGCTTCCGTCATGGTGTCCCATTGCTCCAAAAGTGGTTTAGTCATGCTGGCGGCCACATGACCCAGAAAGCTGTCTGAGGACAAACGCTGGCTCCCTCGGCCTGAAAGCGAGATGAGCGCCGCACCCCGTAGTCACCTTAACCATCCAGACTTTAACTTTACATAGTCTACCCTCACAGATACAGGATTGTAGGTCTGGGGAGGGGCACAGGGTTTCATCCAGACTGACCAGCCCCCAAACTCATAATATTATCCCTGCTTCAGTTTTCCTGGCCGCTGCCAGGAACCATCATTTGTGCGGCTGCTTAGAAGATCTTGTTTGGGATGCTGAGGGTCCCAGGCACCACTGACTTGTGACAGCCTTCAGGAGACTCGCTAATGCTTCTCATCTCTTTCCCCTCTTCCTCAACCCCACCAGGTCCGGACCTATGATCACTATGGCATCTACCACACCAGCCCGACGCTCGGGAGCCTGACCAAGCCGGTGGTGCTTTGGACGCAGCAGGATGTGTGCAAGTGGCTCAAAAAGCACTGCCCGCACAATTATCTCATCTACGTGGAGGCCTTTTCCCATCACGCCATCACAGGTAATCGAGCCTCTCTGGGTTTCCCCAAAAGAGGAGGCTCCCTGGAAGAAAGGGGTGCTCTGTAACGCACGGCAGTTGGGCTTCGTTGTCAGGATAACAACAGCAGAAAAAGTGCTGAGGCACAAGATTGTAACAACCATTCATTGACAAGGAGGGGAAGTTTGGAATAAAGCAGGCTTCCTCAACCTTGGCCCTCCAGATGTTTTTGGCCTACAACTCCCATGATACCTAGCTAGCAGGACCAGTGGTCAGGGATGATGGGAATTGTAGTCTCAAAACATCTGGAGGGCCGAGGTTGAGGAAGCCTGGAATAAAGCAAGACGAAATATCACGGCAAAGTTGCAAATAATAATAATAATATTATAATAATAATTTATTATTTGTATCCCGCCCATCTGGCTGGGCTTCCCCAGCCACTCTGGGCGGCTTCCCACAAAGATCAAAAATACATTAAAATGTCATACATTAAAAACTTCCCTGAACAGGGCTGCCTTCAGATGTCTTCTAAATGTCAGGTAGCTGTTTTATCTCTTTGACATCTGATGGGAGGGCATTCCACAGGGCGGGCGCCACCACCGAGAAGGCCCTCTGCCTGGTTCCCTGTAGCTTTGCTTCTCGCAGTGAGGGAACCGCCAGAAGGCCCTCAGAGCTGGACCTCAGTGTCCGGGCAGAACGCTGGGGGTGGAGATGCTCCTTCAGGTCTACTGGGCTGAGGCTGTTTAGGGCTTTAAAGGTCAACACCAACACTTTGAATTGTGCTCGGAAACGTACTGGGAGCCAATGTAGGTCTTTCAACCTGCAAAATGCAGATTTTAGCAAGGCTCGCGAGGAACTACACACACAGTGGTTTTCAACCAGTGTGCCATGGCACTTTGGAGTGCCTTGAGTGGTGGCCGGGGTGCCGCGGGTAACACTAGCCTCTGTCCCTCTTTCCTTCCCTCCCTCCTGGCGAGCCAGTGTGGTGTAATGGTTAGAGCGGTGGACTCATAATCTGGTGAACCGGGTTCGCTTCCCCGCTCCTCCACATGCAGCTGCTGGGTGACCTTGGGCCAGTCACACTTCTTTGAAGTCTCTCAGCCCCACTCACCTCACAGAGTGTTTGTTGTGGGGGAGGAAGGGAAAGGAGAATGTTAGCCGCTTTGAGATTCTTTCAGGTAGTGATAAAGCGGGATATCAAATCCAAACTCTTCTTCTTCCTCTCCTCTGATGCCCTCTCGCAACTCTGCCTCCCAAAGGCTTGCACAGCTGTTTGCTGCAGCAGCCCTGGCTACAAGCTCCCCAGGCGAATCGTACCTCTGGGGCTGGCCAGGGGGTGCTTCCCAGGCCCCTGTGGGGCACTGTGAGGAGGCACCTCTTTGGGGCAGGCAGGGCAGGTCAGAGACTAGGGGCGGCAGCTGCCGGGAGGACTCCCAAGGAGTGGGGAGAAGAGAGGAGGCTAAGGGAACACTCAACAAAAGAGGATGTTCAAAAAAGAGTTAGGGGCTGCAGGCTCTGCAGGCAAGGGGTGACATAACTGGACCCCTGAGTCCCACAGGGTTGTTGCAGAAAGTACGTAGTTGGTCAAGGGAGCTGTGGACCCAAAAAGGTTGAAAACCTAGCAGAAAATAAGAAGTATTGAGGGGTGCTTTAAGCAACTGGGAACAGGTATGCTTCTAGATAATACAATACGATAATCTTTATTGTCATTGTCCCATACAGAATAATGAAATTGAAAAATCTACAGAAGACATTCAAAAACCAACAAGCCTGCTATCCCAGCTATCCCAACCTGGTTAGCCCCCTAAAAACTCTGATATCCCATTTTTAAATACAATATACTCCCATGCAGACTCCTTACAAGAGCCAGTGTGGCGTAGTGGTTAAGAGTGGTGGACTTGTAATCTGGTGAACCGGGTTCAATTCCCCGCTCCTCCACATGCAGCTGCTGGGTGACCTTGGGCCAGTCACACTTCTTTGAAGTCTCTCAGCCCCACTCACCTCACAGAGTGTTTGTTGTGGGGGAGGAAGGGAAAGGAGATTGTTAGCTGCTTTGAGACTCCTTTGGGTAGTGATAAAGCGGGATATCAAGTCCAAACTCTTCTTCTCTTCTTCTTCTTACAATGAGTTTAAAACCAAAAGTGCATTTGGGTAGAAACTGTTTCTCAGGCAGCTAGTCCTAGTCTTTATACCTTCTTCCAGAAGGCAGAAGCTGAAAGAGATCACTTCCGGGGTGCGCACTGTCCTGCGCTATCTCTGCAGCTTTCTTATGGCACCTGGAAGCATAGATTTGATCCAAGGTGGGAAGAGTGCACCCAGTTATTCTCTCCGCAGTCTTTACAACCCTGGACAGCATTGTTTTTTCCCTGGCCGTGCAGCTCCCAAACCACACACACAGACCATAAGTTAATACACTCTCCACAGTACAATGGTAAAATGCCATCAACAGGTCCTTTGAGAGATTGTTTTTCTGGAGGATTCTCAGAAAATATAATATAATGCTGTGGCGCTAAGTTTTTAGGAGAGTGGCCATATTACAATCTGGCATGCTTCGGCAAACAGTGGATGGATGAGTCGGGGAGTAGCCGATGGGAAGCTCAGGACGGGGTGTGTGTGTGCATATTTTCTCTGGCTTTGGCGCTGTCTAAAGGTTGCTGGATTCTTTGTTCAGAACTTAGCACCTTCACACCCTTGCCTAGAGGATCGTTCCTTTTGTCACGTATGTACAGGTGAGCAACAGAGCCCGTGCAGCCATTGGGCAGAGGGAGGCAACCGCTGTTGGCGGCAGAAGCTGAGGGGTGGCAGCAGCACTGCTTCACTGACTTTTCCCTTCTGTTGGTGGGCAGAAGCAGGAGTGCCCTGCTACTGTCCTGTTGCCAGCATGGAAGTTTGAGTCAGCTCTTGGCCCAGTCACCTTCTGAACGTGGAAGTAGAGTAGGGGAGCCATCTTGTTGTCCTTTGCCTCAGGCGGCAAAAGGTTTTGGGCCGGTTCTGCCAGGCAGCATTAATTGCTCCTTGTGTAGGTACTTGCGGCAGCCTTTCAGCGTGACATCCTTTCTGGGTTTTCCAGGCTGACAGAAAATAGTAGATCCAGGGCGGCTTGATCTGGAGAACAAAAGGATCTTTGCAGGAGAACATGAAGCAGACAAGCATGCGAAGTTGCTGGATTAATATTTTACAAGCAAGAGAGAAAGTAGCCCGAGCCAATAATTACTGCGCAGACACTGTCTGGGGTGTGTGTTTGTTTGGAACCAAAGAAAGGCAGACAGATCAAACTGCCTGTGTTTCCTCCCTGCCCCAACCTTTGCTTAGAAGAGGGTAACCTATCTGTGTCCTGATTTGGGAGGCAGAGAGGAAGAAAGGGAAGAGAAAGGGAGAGAAGTTGTGGTGTTTTCTCCCTGGGAGTCACAAAGGCTGCTCCCTCAGCCTTGCGTGCCTTGGAGGGTTTGGTGAAACACTAATGGAACGGCTCGCTCAAGCCCTTGTGTTGGAAATAAAGGAAGCATTAGCAATTGTACCCGCAGGAGAGGTGGGCCGAGCGAGTTATAACATCCCTCCACTCACAAAGCCTGGATGGCAGGAGAGGGGGCTGATGGGAAAATCTTGCGTTCTAGTGAAGATGCACCAATCTGTTCCAACATTCCTCCAGTGCTCACAGAGGAGCCTTTGAAATAAAATGTGTTTTGATGCAGGAGGTAGATTGGAGAAACAGAGAAATACCCTGTTGCAGGAAAGAAATACCTTCCAAGCTGCATGATTTGTAGGGTTGGCGCAGCACAGCATCATTTTATGGCAGATTTCATTTTATTCATTGCACTTGTTTCGCACCTTTCCTCCGAGTCGCTCAAGACGATCCTCCGCCTCCCCGTTTTATCTCCACAACAGCCCTGCGAGGCGGGTTAGAGTGACAGCGGCTGGCCCAACGTCACCTGGTGCACTTTGCGGCTTAGCGGGGATTTGAACCCAGGTCCTGGTCGAGCACGTGAACCACTACACCCCCCTGGTCACACTTTGAGGGTTTGGGGTTTTGTTCCTTGTTGTTAAATAGCAATCAGTGAGTTGGTGGGGGGAGGAATCGGGATCAGGACTGTGGGGCATAGGGAGGGAGGAGTTGAGTCCTTTGCCCCCCACCCCACTGTAGCCCAAAATGAATGCTGACTCCTTGAAGCCTCTGGTCACAGCAACTCTGGAGGGCAAGGATTTCTGAAACGGCCACAGGGTGGGGAGGAAAGGGTTAAAACCCCTCATGTACACATAGGCACACAGATGTATCTGACAAGCTGACATCTGAAACGCCCAGATACATGAATTGCCTATCATCCAGTTTGACCTGTTTTATGCTGTAGAAAAACCACCACAAAATTCTGGGTTGAGTCTGGGAACAATGTTGTTGTTGTTGTTTAGTCATTTAGTCGTGTCCGACTCTTCATGACCCCATGGACCAGAGCACGCCAGGCACTCCTGTCTTCCACTGCCTCCCACAACTTGGTCAAACTCATGCTGGTAGCTTCGAGAACACTGTCCAAACATCTTGTCCTCTGTTGTCCCCTTCTCCTTGTGCCCTCCATCTTTCCCAACATCAGGGTCTTTTCCAGGGAGTCTTCTCTTCTCATGAGGTGGCCAAAGTCTTTGAGCCTCAGCTTCAGGATCTGTCCTTCCAGTGAGCACTCAGGGCTGATTTCGTTAAGAATGGATAGGTTTCATCTTCTTGCAGGCCATGGGATTCTCAAGAGTCTCTTCCAGCACCATAATTCAAAAGCATCAATTCTCCGGCGATCAGCCTTCTTTATGGTCCAGCTCTCACTTCCATACATCACTACTGGGAAAACCATAGTTTTAACTATACGGACCTTTGTCGGCAAGGTGATGTCTCTGCTCTGGGAACAATAGGGCATGTCATTTGAAGGGGCGAAGCTTACATTTTGCAAATTTCTTTAGTGAGGGGTCTTAAAAATACATTTTGGGGGGTGAAGAATTCAAATCTGCCATCATTTTAGTGACTGGACATTTAGCTTGGTGAGATGGAGAAGCGCAGAAACTGCCTTTGGAAAACCAAAAGCGTTTCAATTTTACCTTATGAAAACGGCAGGTAATGCTTTATAAAATACAGAATATGGCTGCAGGTACTTGGCAGTGATTTTTAATGATTTCCGTGCCACGTTGCACACATTTTACTTACCGAGCAAAGCTAAACAATATTGATTTAACCAAAATACCTATTGAGTTCCCAGGTCATGTTACAACATTTTACCGCCCTCCATTTTTGGAAGTTGAAAGATTTCAATGCACCGTATGTGGAACGGTCTGTCTATGCCTGGGCTGTCCCCACTTCAGGCTGCAAGGGGGAGCCTGGCTGGATTGCTCCCTGCTCCAAAAAATAAAACCCCTCTGCACAGAAGCCTGGTGTCAGGAGGAACACCCCCTCCCCCCCCAAGAGCTCTTATCTGGCCCTTTCTCCCTCCTCCTCCTCACGGTTCTGCTTTCTTCCCGGCAGGTCGGGCGTTGCTGCGGCTGAATGCGGAGAAGTTGCAGCGCATGGGGATAATCCACGAGTCTCAGCGGCAGGAAGTCCTCCAACAGGTGCTGCAACTGCAGGTGCGCGAGGAAGTCCGCAACCTACAGCTCCTCAGTCAAGGTACTTTGGCTGGGGGGCGGGATGTCCCCAAATCATTCCCGATTCCCTGCATTTGAGTGGCCTGCTGCGTTGGTCAGCCTAAAGACAAGTAACCTTTGAGGGTTACTTCTTGTTCCTCCCGGCTACGTCTCTCTGTCTTGCCATGGATTCTACTTCTCCACCTGCAAAGCTGGGACTTATGGGGTGAAGCTCTGAGATTCGGGGCACTTTCAGACTGTTGCTGGTTTTGGGTGGGATTCGGTTCCGCACTAGCAAATCCACGTTGCATTGTTAAAGCTGAGCCGGGCCTCTTTCACAACAAGCCTCTTTGCCCCCCCAAACTGGACTTTTTTCAATAAGGGAACCTGCCAGCAAATTGCACTGGGGAAATGTAGGGTAATGAACAACTGCCAGGCACAACATCGTTTAACCTCCCTGCCAACAAATTAGGATGAATGCTGACTTCATCCGACCTCCCGGCCAGCTTCTGTGCCAACAGATCAGGGTGAATCTTGCCTGGAAGTGACATTTGCATCTCAGCCATCCTTTTAAAGAGCGTTTAAACAGGATGTTGTGGGTGCTTCAACGCACAGCAGTTTGTTGTGGACTTGGGTGCTGCTTATTCCTGCAGTCTTATTGCAAGATCCACATGTCGTAGTATTATATATTTTAAAAAAACCCTTTCCCATAGTTCCCCCTCCCTGCACCTTCCCATTTGCCATTTCCAAAGGTGCTGTAGCGTCTTTTGACTTTTACTTATTGGATTTTCTGCGGAAATAGAAAATCCGTTTTAAGTTGGAAGCTACCGTATTTTTCGCTCCACAAGACACACTTTTTTCCTCCTAAAAAGTAAGGGGAAATGTCTGTGCGTCTTATGGAGCAAATGTGTGGTTGATCGCTGGCTCCCTTTCCAGCCCCGGACCCTTGCCCAGGCCTCCATTGTTGAATGTTCTGCAGACGGAGGCTGTTTGTTTCCCCAGCGACATGTGACTGGCTGGCTGATTAGATTATCTGTCAGGAAACTGTAGAAATGGCTCCCTTTCCTTTCCTAAAGAAGCTGCAGAACTGTGAGTTGAACCCCATAAAAACAGGATTTTTTTACCTTTGCAAAGTAAGCTCAACAACTTTGAGCTGATCCTTAAAAAACCGGGGCTTTTCCCCTTTGCAAAAGAAGCTGCACAACTGTGAGCTGATCCTCAAAAAACTGGGGCTTTCCCCCTTTCCTCCTCTAAAAAACAGGTACGTCTTATGGTCAGGTGCGTCTTATGGAGTGAAAAATACGGTAATAGGGGGTGGGAATTTGATGAGGATGACATCAGATAAGAGTCTGAACAAATTTTGCATGCACCGACCCCTCCATAAACTGCAACCCACCTGAGAGGGAGGGACCTACAAGGAAGGGTGATTCTGCCCAGGGGAAAAAGTCGCCAGCCAGCCATCTTCCTCTCTTTCACCCCCCATCTCTTCCCTCGATTCTCATTCCATCCTTTGAGTCTGCTCCCCACCTTTGCCCTTCCTTCCCCATCTCACTGCCTCCTGCTAGTCGCCCTCTGTGCTTCCTCCCTTCCTACTTCTTCTCTTCCCCCATTTCGCCAATCTCCTCCATTCCTTTTCTCTTCCTCTTTCCTCCGCGGTTCAGCATCCCCACACCCTCACTCCTTCCCTCCACATGTTGTCTCCTTATGCTTGTCCTTGGCCAGCATCCTCCCCTCTGCATGTCCTGGCCTTGCTTCAGAGGAGGGGAGCGGGCCAGCCTGGCCTTGTTCCTGCATCATGGATGGGGCATCTTTCCCCTGCAGCCGGGCTTCCCCCCTCCTCCATTGCAGTCACCCAGTTGTCTGGCTCCCAAAGCAAGACTGGACCAGGAGCCTCCAAGATCTGTCTGCTGGAAACCTTCTGAGAACCTTCCAAGTGTCTTCACCCTCTCCCCCTTGACCTCATTTCCAACTTCCAGGTGGGCCCAGCAGTGCCTTCCCCCAGTCTTGCTTGAGGCATCCCCTTCCCCAATTCACCCGTCGCCACAATTTCCCCCTGTGTCCTCCGCCTCCAATCTCCCTTGACAGCTTTGGTACTTACTCCCTTTTTTCTGTTTCTTTCCTTCGCTCCCAACCCTCCTTTTTCCAGCCTCTTTTGGGAACATCTCCTAACCTCTCCGGCTTGTCCCGGCACGACACTGTGAAGTTGCATCGCTTCTGGGATGCGGATGGCTTGTGTGGACTGCAGGTCTGGACACCTCGATTGCATGCTTGGGAAATTAGGAAGGGACCCGATCCCAGACTGGCTCCAGGGGGGGCGGTATTTGGTGCGCTCGCTCTCCCCACCCACCCCGACACACACCCCTCACTCTTCTCTTTGATTCCTCATTGGTTCCATGCAGAGACCAGCTGCTGTCTGGCTCAGAACTCATGCCACGCCAAACCACCGCCACTAGGACTTGTCAAACTCAGCCTCGTGGGATCCGATCACAGCGCGAAATTGTTTCCTTGACGAAACCAGCGAGGACAGACTTTCTCCCCAGAAGGACACGGAAGACTTCTGAATCCGAGGATTTTGCAAATGCTTCACTCGCTTCATTGTACAGGCGTCTTGGATCTCGTTCAGAGGCTCTCCGTAGCAATCAGGGTGTGTGGGCTGGAGTGGTTCAGAGGCCATCTTCCAAATTCAGGATTCCCAGGTTGAACCCTTGCCTTTGCCACAAGCTCACCAGCCTCTGACCCCCACCACCACCACCCCCCACAATACGAGGATAAAAATTCTGCTCTACCATACAGGGCTGCTGGGAGGATAACAACCAGCTGCCCATCGTTTTGAACACTCCTTAACATGCTACGTAAGCACTGTTTATTATTACTACTGCTACATGAGAGTAAAAACAATGGGGGGGGCTCTGTGTATGGGTGTGTTAATGCAGAACTTTGGTCAGATTTTTAACCTGAATGCACAAATGCCCAAACTTGACTTTTGAAAAATAATACGCTCTTAGGGCAATTCCTGCTGCTAATTGCAGTGGATTCTTCGTCCAACATTCAGACTGTCTCCTCCTTGCTGAGGCTGTGATATATTTGGGGAGGGAGGTTGTGTTGAGAAGCCAAGGCTGGATTGAGAGTGATGGCAGCCAATGACTCTACATACTGCCAGACACTGGCCACAGAAGCAGCCTGTCTCTGTCACTGGTCATCTTGGAAATTTTGGAGGGACTGTAGCTCAGTGGTAAGGCACCTCTTTAGCATGCAAATGGTCTCAAGTTCAGTTCCTGGGGTCTTCGGTTCCAAAGATTTGGGAGCAGTTGTTGGGAGGGACCTTCTGGCCGAGACCCCGGACAGAAACACTGCCCAATACTCAACTTTGCGGACAAATTCTTGGACCTGATAAAAGGCCGCTTCCTAACAACAACCCACATTTCTGGAACAGGAATTTAAATTAAGAGTCGCCCAGTGAAGCTTTATGTATTTTAACAAGGTTTTCTGTAAAAACAACAAAGGAAAGCCAAACAAAACAACATCAACGAGAGTGAGCGAACACACAGAATCCCTGAAAGGTAGTAAATGTTATTATCATTATCAATATTAATTTATTAAATTTGTACATCGCCCTTCATCCAAAAGATTGCAGAGCGGTTCACAGCATAAAAATATAAAATGAGAACACAAAATGCATAATGAAGCAAAAACAAAAATAAACCAATAACCCCCAAACACAGTTAAAAGGCTAGAGAATGTTAATGTCAGAGACTCCCTGGGGAGAGCGTTCCACAAACAGGGAGCCACCACACAAAAGTCCCTGTTTTCGTGTTGCCACGCTCCAGACCTCTTGTGGAGGAGACACACGAAGAAGGGCCTCCGATGATGATTGCAGGGTCTGGGTCGGTTCAAATGGGGAGAGGGGGTCCTTGAGGTATTGCGGTCCTGAGCTGTTTAATAATGACTTGTGAAAGAGGCTTTTGACATTCCCTCTTCCCCACCCCCCAACCCACCCACATCTAATAATGATGCTTGGGATGTGCTGAGTGGCGGTTCGCAAGCAGTGTCACAGTCCTCCTTTCAACAGCTGGGGGGAACTGTGGCTCTTATTTCCTGCAAGCGGGGGGTGGGGCTGGAGAAGGAGGGCATGTCCTCTGAAAAAGGTCAAAGAGTCGTTGGCCCTTCTCCTTGCAGACTGTTGGATGGGAATGACAGGGATGGAAGTGTCACAGAAAGAGAGAGAGAGAGAGAGAGAGAGAGAGAGAGAGGGTGTCACAACGGGAGAAGAAGAGAAAAGGAGATGAGGGGGAGAGAGAAAGAAATAAAGGAAGGAAGGAAGGAAGGAAGGAAGGAAGGAAGGAAGGAGGAGGCCCCCAATACTTTTGGCTCTGGTTCCATCTTGTACAGTGGTACCTCTGTTTGCGAACAGGATCCGTTCCGGAGCCCCGTTCGCAACCTGAGAGAAACACAACCCACATCTGTGCGTCTGCACATGCGCAGGTCGCAATTTGCCGCTTCTGCACATGCGCATAATGTCATTTTTGCACGTCTGCGCATGCGTGAGCGGCAAAACCCAGAAGTAATCCTTTCCGGTACTTCCGGGTTGCCGCAGGACGCAACCTGAAAAGACGTAACCTGAACCAAACGTAACAAGAGGTATGGCTATACTAGCATACACCTCAAAGGTATTTTGCCCTAACTACAAACCTTAGCACCTTCTGTATTTCTGTGCACAGCCTCTATGCCCTCTCAAAGTTAAAAAAAAGGTCTGCACCAAAACACTTGTGATTAGAAAGTGCTGCCCGAGCTCACTTGATTCGCAGTGCGTATCCTCCAGCACTGCTGCACTCACTGTGAAAACCCTAGAGATCAGGTCACCGCTGGATACTTGAAGGCCTTCCTCGAGCTAAATAGCAAGGGCCATTTCTGACACTTCTCCTGTCAGAAACCACACCTGTTCCGCCAGCCCATCCTTCGCCCAACATGGCAGGTAGTTAGAAAGGGCCAAAAGAAAGCCCCAAACTTCTGAGCTGGAGAAGATGCCTTATACGGAGCCAGGCCGTTGGCCATCATAGAATTGTAGAGTCGGAAGGGACTATCAGGTGTCGTCTGATCCCTTGCAATGCAGGAATCTCAACAACCCGTCTCAACATCATCCACTCTGGCAGCTCTGCAGTATCCCTCGTGGGGACTCTGTCTTCAAGGTCTTACTAAACACTCCCCTCTCCTGACGGGCAGCTGACCCACTTTTGGGAAACTAGGTAGATTCCCTTGGTGGTTGAGGTGAGAGTTTTTCCCATGGGGGAAAATCTGTAGCCGTATAGATTTGGGTCCATGACCTTTGGGTCCATTTCGGTAACTGGGCTGAGTTACTCTCCCCACTTTCTGCACAGACCCACCTGAATGCTCTCCTGCCCTTCGCTTGCCTCCAGTGCAGCAGACCATGCTTTCTGAAGACTCTCTCCCCTGCCCCAGATAAAATGCACAGCTCAGAATGCGCCCAGAGCACTCGTGAAAATCGATTTAGCTTACATCAAGAGGCAATGCTTTTGCAATCATTGCGCTGCCCTTGGCAGATTCCTCTGCTTCTGAGGGTGCCCCCAATCCTTCAATTCTCCTCCTCTGCACAGTCTATTAAAATTAATAGCGGTGCTGTTATCTGCAGGGTGCGCCCCACTGCCAAGGTCATAAGTCAGCCCATTAAAACCCAGCGCATGTTATTGCTCCCTTGACAATGAATTATTATTGGCGTTTGAAATTTGGGACCGTGCCGTGCGATCGCAGGGACTAGTAGCGCAGAAGGCACAAGACTGCTTGGCTTAATGGACTAGCCGCCGATGACGTCATAGCCGGTGCCATTGGCCATGTGGTCTGGGGCTGATGGGAGTTGGAGTCCAGTGACCTCTGGAGGGACACAGGTTCCCATCTCCTGTGGGACCTCACAGAGGCAGATTTAGGGCAGGAAAAATAGTTCCACCGCGCTGGGCGCTGAGCCCAGGGGGTGCCGAAACGATGAGCAGAATGGAAGGCGAGAGGCGAATTTTGGCCTTGCATCGTTGAAATTTGAAAGACCAAAGTCTGCCCCTGGTCTCCCTTTTCTCTGCCTAGGAGTGCTCCCAAAGCCACCAATAAGTTCGGTCGTACAAGCCACTGCAAAGGGTGTTCTTCCCGGCCTCCGCCACCCACCTCCCGCCCAGCTCTTCCTGACCACCCAGCTGTGAAACAATGCTTTTGATTAGCTCCCCGGCAGTCCTCCCCGAGGCGAGCTCATCCCCGCGACAGGCTGGGCAATAAGGTCCCTTATCAAATGTCCAAAGTAATTTCCCTAAGCCGTCTCTCCTCACCCTCTAAATGGGCAGCTCTGCCTTGGCAGTCAGACAGAGCCTCTGGGGGAAACCTGGCCATCTTTGCCTCCAGCAAAGGCTGCTCAGACCCATTCTGCAGAAATTACCGTATTTTTTGCTCTATAAGACTCCCTTTTTCCCTCCTAAAAAGTAAGGGGAAATGTTGTGTGCGTCCTATGGAGCGAATGCAGGCTGCGCAGCTATCCCAGAAGCCAGAACAGCAAGAGGGATCGCTGCTTTCACTGCGCAGCGATCCCTCTTGCTGTTCTGGCTTCTGAGATTCAGAATATTTTTTTTCTTGTTTTCCTCCTCCAAAAACTAGGTGCGTCTTGTGGTCTGGTGCGTCTTATAGAGCGAAAAATACTGTAGATTGGGGACAACGGCATTGTCCTCGAAGATCCAAATTCCTGTTACACCAGATATAAAAGCTCCTCGGTTTTGCATTGTGTGAGGAAGGCCCTTTGCTCTGGGCAGGTCTGAACGCTGGTTCGGCTGCTCATTTATTTCTTATACCGCTAAATGTATTAAAAATACTGTCCAATGTAGCCCATTTGCGTCAGGGCCTGCCTTTGACTTAGAACCAGGGTTCATCAAGTCCAGCCCCCCCTGCAAGGCAGGAATCTTTTGCCCAATGTGGGGTTCGAACCCACAACCTTGAGATTAAGACTCTCAAGAGTCAGGTCCATAATCCATAATCTGTCTGGTTTAGGGCTGCCAGTATGGTGTAGTGGTTAAGAGTGGTGGACTCGTAATCTGGTGAACTGGGTTCGATACCCTGCTCCTCCACATGCAGCTGCTGGGTGACCTTGGGCTAGTCACACTTCTCTGAAGTCTCTCAGCCCCACTCACCTCACAGAGTGTTTGTTGTGGGGGAGGAAGGGAAAGGAGAATGTTAGCCACTTTGAGACTCCTTCGGGTAGTGATAAAGTGGGATATCAAATCCAAACTCCTCCTCTTCTTCTTCTTCTTCTTCTTCTTCTTCTTCTTCTTCTTCTTCTTCTTCTTCTTCTTCTTCTTCTTCTTTGCTCTCTGGGAGCTGTTATCCACCAGGGCAAACACACCCCATAAGCTCAGCCACCCTGTCTCATTTTGCATCCCCAGCCTGGCAGACACGGCCCCTCAAGAAAAATGAAATAAGGCATATTGAGCACCTAGCCCACTCAGAAGCTTTATTTGTACACTTGTGCCCCTCTCAAAGGAGCTTGAGGTGGTGTGCATGGTTCTGCCCTCTCCTGTTGCATCCACACAAGAACCCTGCCAGGTAGGTCAGGCTGAGAGGCAGCAACTGGCCCAAGGTCACCCAGGAAGAGCCTTGGTCTCCCAGGTCCCACTCTGACACATGTCACCATCATACTATGCCGGCTTCCGCAGGCCGGTAGCTACTCTGGGTTCTTTTAACCTGGAGACTCCTGGGCTTGAGTCTGGACTTCCTTAGGTGCAAAGCATGTGATCTACCACTGACCGGAGAACCTGGAGTGATGAGCAGAGAAGAACCAGAAGGAGATACAATTGTCAGTTGCCCATGCCATTAGAAATGAGGTCACTGTTGAGCCACAGGAAATTGAGAGGATAAAATGTGGCTGTTTTTCCAGTGTTTTCCTAAGAGCAAAATGCCTGTTGCTGTGACACGCACAGTCTTTGGCAACCTGGTGCCCTCCAGATGTCTCAAACTACAACTCCCATCGTGGAAGTTGTAGTCCCAGGCATCTGGAAGGCACTGCCAGCTTGGCGAAGACTTGGCCACGGGCTGGCGTTTGTAGCGCAAGGATCATTTGGAGCATCGCATTTTTATGTCATCCTCTCAAGTGCAGCGCTGTTACTTTTTTTCCATAGGAGTGAATGGCGTCCATTGGAGATGGTCTAGGCAAACACTCCAGCCTGTGGTCACCTGAACTGTTGCAAACTGAGCTTCTGCTGTCAGCATTGCTCAGCAGAGCTCCAGGGCTGGGAACCTCCACGCCCGGGGGTCTAACCATATAGAATGCCAGGTGTGGGGCAGGTAAAAACATGGCGTCGCCAAATGGAGCTTGGCCGGGCCCCCCAATCAGCTGATTGGAGAGGCCTCCCAAGCCCTAACTGCTAGGCAAGATGGTGCTTTGAAAGGGGCTCCTGTTTGCTGCCTATGGAGTAGCTCCTTTCAATGCTCTCTGTTGCCAGTGTTATGAAGGGGCTTCTGAAGAACCCTGTGGGTGGGTGGGGGGCACTTGTGACTTCAGGTGATTGGCAGGTGGGTGGCTCCACTCGCCTGCCAAACATGGCCCAGGAGACGTGGTGGAGATAACATTTATCTAGCCCATCGGCCAGATCCAGCCCCCAACCCGGGCATAGCTGCCACCTGGGTTGGGTTTCAAAGCTACACTTCAATCATAGAGTTGGAAGGGACCCCTGAGGTTCATCTAGTCCACCCCCCCTGCCATGCATGAATTGATTGGTTCAGATCCAGCCCTCTGGACCAGCAGAAACTAAACTTGCTCTGTCTTCCACCTGGAGTGTTTCAGAAACAGCCTTTGTTGTAGATTCTCCAGCCCACAGGCCGCCTGCCAAGTTTTCAGATATCACCCAGTTCCCTTTTGCCACATAAAGGTAAAGGTAAAGGGACCCCTGACCATTAGGTCCAGTCGTGGCCGACTCTGGGGTTGTGGCGCTCATCTCGCTTTATTGGCCAAGGGAGCCGGTGTACAGCTTCTGGGTCATGTGGCCAGCATGACTAAGCCGCTTCTGGTGAACCAGAGCAGCGCACGGAAATGCCGTTTACCTTCCCGCCGGAGCGGTACCTATTTATCTACTTGCACTTTGACGTGCTTTCGAACTGCTAGGTTGGCAGGAGCTGGGACTGAGCAACGGGAGCTCACCCCGTCGCGGGGATTCGAACCGCCGACCTTCTGATCGGCAAGTCCTAGGCTCTGTGGTTTAACCCACAGCGCCACCCGTGCCACATACCCTCCTCGTTCCAGTCCTTCTGTAGCCCAAGAGGCTCCCTATGCAAGAAGGA